GATGCACTTGGCTGGTCTGTGTTTCCACACCACATTTCACTCCATGAGCTCGCCTGTGGCAACCGTATGGTGCATGCTGGCTCAAATTACGAATGGCAGCCGCCACCGGCTGCAGAAACTGAACTTGGGATCTAGCGATGCCATTCGCGACATGATTTTCCGCTTTCCATTTCTCTTGTGGGTGGCGAGGGGGCTTAAGTTTCTGGACGTTGGCGCTCCCAGAACTGGCACGCAGTCCATGCACGCCGCCTTTGACATCTTGGGCTACAGAGCTCTGCACACTGGATATCATCAGGCCTCGCGCCCGCCTTGGTGCGACTATCTCTTCGGCAACGGCAGCTTGGAGACGGCCCTGGCCACAGTGGCGGGTTTCGACGTCGCCATGGACGAGCCCATGATGCTCGTGTACGAAGAGGTCATGACCAGCTTCCCTGAGTCCAAGTTCATTCTGACCGTCTCCGATCCAGAGAGCTGGCACGACAACTACGTCAGCGTGGCGCAGGGAATTGTCGCTGCTCAGGAAGCAACAGGTCTCCACCCGAAGGAGCAGTCAGAGATTGAGAGGCTTTGCACTGAGATGCGCTCCTGGGGTTGTGATTTTGAAAATCCCAGCCCGGCATCTAGACAGACCTGCATCCAGAGCTACAAAGCACACAACGCTAGAGTGCAGCAGGTGATTCCACCCCACAGGCTGCTGGTCTACAACTGGTCTGACGGATGGGCGGGGCTGTCGCATTTCCTGCAGGTGCCCGTTCCAGATGCCGAGTTTCCTCAACAAGACCTAGTTGCAGACACATTCATCCCAGGTCACGCCGAAGAGTCGGACTCATAGTGCCAATAGGCGCGGATTTCAAAGTTGTTCTTGTCATGTTTCACGTTGTTAGTGGTGTCTTACGCTTATGAAGAAGCTAAACAATAGTTATGATGTCACTTATGTCTTGCAACTTGGATGCAGTGTGCGAAGCTTCACGTCTCACCTTGCCACGCCAGTCAAAAAAGAAAGCCAGCGGAAAGCTCGAGCTTTGACCGAAAGAGCCAGTTCTGCAAGCGTGGCCCAACATGGAATGTGCGGCTTTAAAGGCGGGAAGTCCAAGGGGCCCAGATGTTTGACACCCCGCGCCAAAGGCTTCAGTCTCCATCTTTCTCGATGCGTGTGCCGGAAGAGCAAAGCAAGCAGTTCTGACAGAGAACCTCCTTCATGTCAGCACGTTGGACACCACAGCCTCGTTTGGCCTCAAGTCGCTTGGGGAAAAAAAGGCGGATCCCTGAAGGTTCAGGAGATCCTCGCTTACTGGAGCGGCGTTTTCGGGCAGGCAAATGCAAGCAGAACGAACAGGCTTCAGGCCACCAAGAACAGTGCATCTCTCAGGCACAGAAAAGGTAAATTCAGCGGCGTGTGGTTTTGCTTTGTTGAGTCCTTGCCAGCTTGCAGCCTGCCATGCTGACGTCTTTGTAACAGACATATGAGCAGGCATTGCCCGCAGGTTACTCCTGCTCGGATCGTGGAGACCTGCGCGTAGTATTTGTTCATCAGTTTCTTAACCGCAACAGCAATATTAATCATGAAATCTCAAACTAAAATTCAAAGTTTTGCCGCAAGCACGAGCTCACAGATTGGGGGGGGGGGAAACGAGTTCACCCATGATGACCCTTTGCTTAGGTATTCCGTGTGTTCAATTTGTGTTGTGCAGCCCATAGTAATGTCCAATAATCTCAACAAAATGCTTTTTCTTGGAGTTTTCTACGGTTGCCAACATGTCACATCAATCATTTGGTACATGCTGGAGCAACGACTTGCTCTGTTTAGTATGTTCACGAGCTGGCGTTTGGGCCGCAAAGCATGCGTTTGCCGTGTGAGAACCGTGCTTCTGACCTAACAAGTGGCATATCTAGTCATTGCCTGGAAGATTTGTAATGCCGTTGCGTTTTGTTGTTGCTGCGCAATTCACAATGTTCACATACAGCTCGATGTTCTAGCATTGCGTTCTTTGTGGGCTGTGCACTAGATCCTCCGCCTTGTTAAACTGATGTTGCTTTCCCTCTGACAATTGCACGTTGGAAGACAATAGAAAGCGTGATTTACATTGTCGTTCTTCCAGCTTGAATGGAATGACCTGTGCCTTGCAAGCAGGTGAAGCACTGACGTCTGAGTTGGCCTTGCGCGACGGGCTGTTCAACTCTTGCTTTGTCAAACGCCTTGCGCTCAAAGCTTCGCAGCGCCACCTTTGTCCGTGCTGCCAAAGCAAGCTTATGCCGCGCTTATTGCATCGCCCATTGCCAGAGACCTTGCGGATGGTGCCATTTGTTTGGGCACTTCTTTCACAAACCTCACTTCTTGAGTCCATGAACTTTACACTTTTTGGGAAGACCATTTTAGTGTTTTTTTTTTGGGGGGGGGGCATCCACTCAGCAAGTGAGACAGGATCAGACACTGCTCAAAACCGTGCGGTGCTGAAGCTCCACTCATATTGTGAGGAGCCGCGCGTTCGGCATCTTAGAATCTCGAGCGCGTGATGACCAAGAATATGTTGTTTCCTAATTTTCCCTGTTTGGTTTCAAAAGGGAGTACAATGCGCGAAATTCATGATAAAGTTGTTTTGCTTGGGGATCCCTTAATTGAGCTCTTGGAATTATAGTAAAACTTGCAGATCTTGTTCAAAGGTTCAACAAGATCTCCGTGGTAGGAGAAACCCAGGGCTGTGGCTGAAACCAAGCCGCTCCACACACGCACATTTCCGCATGGTGTCCGTCGCGAGAGGGAGTTCTCAAGGTCGCTCCTGCACATTGATCTGAGCTACCGAGAACTGGAGCGCATCTTCGAGATCATGGTCTTCGCAGCGTCTTGGGTTGAAAGTGCCCCTGGTAGAAAAAAAGGGCAGCGCAAAGAAGGGCAGAAAAGGGCAGAAAAGGGCAAAAAGAAGACCACAACAAGGGCTGCGCATAGAAAGTACTGAAATGGTTTGGCGGGTCCTTGGACTTCCATGTCATTCCGCACATCAAGCTACCGAAGTTTCGAAGTGACATTGCTGTTTTGTCTATCTTTGAAGTTTCCTGCAACCATGCTACTGTGGTTTGACTGGATGTGGCAGTCAACAAAACTCTACACCCAGTGCCAAGCGGAAGACGCAGTTGACTGTCTGCTGTAACGTGGAGATGGCGAATTTTCCATCAGCCAGTGCCAAGTCACCAAAGAGGTGAGCGTGTACGTGCGTGCGTGCGTGCGTGGGTGCGTGTGTGTGTGTGTCTCTGTGCGATGCGGTGCGGGGCGGTCCGTTGCGGGGCGGGGCGGCGCGGGGCGGGGAGGGGCGGGGCGGGGCGGTGCGGTGCGATGTGGTGCGATGCGGTGCGTCCGGTGCGTGAGGTGCGTGCGGTGCGTGAGGTGCGTGCGGCGCTTCGTGCGCTGCGTGCGGTGCGTGCGGTGCGTGCGCTGTGTGCGGCGCGTGCGGTGCGTGCGGTGCGTGCAGTGCGTGCAGTGCGTGCCGTGCACTCCGTGCGTGCCGTGCCTGCCGTGCGTGCCGTGCGTGCTGTGCGTGCAGTGCGTGCAGTGCGTGCAGTGCGTGCAATGCAGTGCAGTGCAGTGCAGTGCAGTGCAGTGCATGCATGCGTGCGTGCTTGCGTGCTTGCGTGCGTGGGTGGGTGTGTGTGTGTGTGTGTTTGTTTTTGTGTTTTTGTGTTTGTTTGTTTGTTTGTTTGTTTGTTTGTTTGTTTGTTTGTTTGTTTGTTTGTTTGTTTGTTTGTGTGTGTTTGGGTGTTGGTGTGTTGGTGTGTTTGTGTGTTGGTGTGTTTGTGTGTGTGTGTGTGGGTGCGTGCGTGCGTGCGTGCGTGCGTGCGTGCGTGCGTGCGTGCGTGCGTGCGTGCGTGCGTGCGTGCGTGCGTGCGTGCGTGCGTGCGTGCGTGCGTGCGTGCGTGCGTGCGTGCGTGCGTGCGTGCGTGCGTGCGTGCGTGCGTGCGTGCGTGCGTGCGTGCGTGCGTGCGTGCGTGCGTGCGTGCGTGCGTGCGTGCGTGCGTGCGTGCGTGCGTGCGTGCGTGCGTGCGTGCGTGCGTGCGTGCGTGCGTGCGTGCGTGCGTGCGTGCGTGCGTGCGTGCGTGCGTGCGTGCGTGCGTGCGTGCGTGCGTGCGTGCGTGTTGTGTGTGTGCGTGTGTGTTTGTGTGTGTGTGTTTGGGTGTTTGGTGTTTGCGTGTGTGTGTTTGTGTGTGTTTGTGTGTTTGTGTGTTTGTGTGTTTGTGTGTTTGGTGTTTGTGTGTTTGTGTGTTTGTGTGTTTGCGTGTTTGTGTGTTTGTTTGTTTGTTTGTTTGTTTGTTTGTTTGTTTGCTTGCTTGCTTGCTTGCTTGTTTGTTTGTTTGTTTGTTTGTTTGTTTGTTTGTTTGTGTGTGTGTGCGTGTGCCGTTTTTTGAGGATTCCCTTTTCAGCTTGGTTTGAAGTGATCTTAGGATCCCATTTGACACCTCAGGAAGGCGAGCAGCTGATGACGGAGGACAAGTTCATCCGCACGATTCGGAACCGCTTCTTCCTGCGGGGCATCCGTCGGGTGGTTCAGCTGCCCTCGGCCAGCGCCAATTTGCCCGAAGGCTTCAACCTGGATGAGGATACGGCCACCAACCACTCCGGCGAACCCTGGCATGGCTCTTTTGAAAGAGGCACGGGGGGAAGAACAAAAGTCGCTGCATGCTTAGGTCAGGGTGAAAGCTGAAGTCGGTGTTTCACATGCACACTTCCTTCAGTCCTATGATTCATTTGAGCAGGCATGCGATATCAGCAATGTGCTGGCTGGAGAAGTCAAGACATATTTTGCTAAAAGGCAGGTGTTTTCTCCATGTGCGGAGAACCGGAAAGGCATTTTCTTCTGTTGCGCTCCTCGTCTTCAGTTCGCCACTGGACTCTGTATTCCCTTGTCCTTGCCCAGGAAAAGGGCCAATTTGTCGGTCCCTACGCTGACATTCGAGCCACTTGACAAAAAAAAGACGCTGGGTCGCTCCCCAAGGTGGATTGTTTGGCCGCTTGCTCATAGACCGTCAGGCGTCTGTTAAGCCGACCCATGGATTCGGGGGTGTCCAGTCTTGACCTAGCATTTCCTGGTGCCAAAATATCATTTCATCCAGTTCTTTTGGAAGAAAAACACCAACCCCCTGGCTTCTAACCTTCTTGGACCCTAGGGTTCTTCTCTCACCGGGATGTTTAAGGTTTTTCAATGCAGGTGTCGCCGCTTTTTGTTTACCAGAGCCTGCTGCAGTAGTCTGACCAGCACACGAACGTTGGAAGCACGCTTCCCAGCGGTCAAGTGTCGACTTTCCGCAGAAACGTCGTTTTGGCACGCGGAGATGTCGGGCAGCCAAGATTTGTTCATCAAGGCAAGCAGGATTATGCTTTTTCTTCAGGCTTCCTTCAATATTTATGTCTTGGCATAATCACTTCCTAACGCTCAAGACATGTCCACGTACGGAAGCCATTGGACCATGTTTGACTTCGCAGGTCTTTAGCACGAATCACGGAGAGAGAGAAGTTGCTGGATATTTGATGCGGTGACAAGAAACTTGAAGCCCCAGAGCCGCAAGGCGTGCTTGAAGATGCAACGCATTCACTTGCACATGAGCAACTTTCACGCAGCATCCCTCAGCGCATATTTTGCGCTCGGATGTGCCTGTTTCGAAGGATTATATTCAATATGCGAGATCCAGTGTCTGGAAACGTAGAAGCTATTTTCAATTGGGTCAGGGGCCCAAGCAGAGAAATGATGGGTATTTTTGTCTCCAGGAACCCCCCTGATAAACATCTCATATGGTTCTCCCTCCGCTCTCCATGAAGCCCAAAGGCGTTTGCAAGATGATGCCCCCCTAAGGTACCTTCGAATTCCTTTTGCCAGGAATGAGAGATTCTGGAAACAGTTTACCGGCCGATTTGTGGGCGCTTGCTCTTTTGTCAGCGAGCTGGCAGCAATCGGTGACATTGACCGGAATGTTTTTTTCAATGGCTGTTCAATCTTCTGTGTAGCAAGAGCGCTGTATGGCTGTGTCGTTTTGTGAGGGTACCAGTGTTTGTGTTTGTTCCAAAGGAGATCCACCACTTTCTGATTCTGGGGGGTCCAAGCTCCAAAAAGTCACAGCCACGTCTGCCGTGGCACTTCACACATCCAAAAAAAAGGCCCCGGCTTGTGCCCGGGGCGCGGAGGCTACCAGAGATCACAGCTTCCACGGATGCTATTCAGCAGAGCGCCAACGCTGGCAGGAGATGGTTGATGGCGACAGCCCGACGAGTTTTCTTTGGGTGTGTCTGCCATAAGGGGAACCCTTTTGACTGGTTTTAGAAGGAAGACCAAAGAAAACCGCAATTTTGGCTGGTTTTACAAGGGAAACCAAAGGAACCCCACCATTGTTGGGCTCCCCCGAAAACAAGGCACACCCATATAGCCACCACAACCCATAAAGCACAAAGGGACAATGTCATGTACCCCTGGGTGCACGCCTCAACCCAACATAACCTCAGCTGTGGAGGAATCTCCTTTTCTTGCTGGCGCTCAGTGGGGAATGAGAAAATGAACCTGCCTTAAAGGAGACCATCTCTTGGATGGTTGGGGGTCATTCCATTTCTCATTCCCTGCATCTCTCGCAGCAAGTTCTGGGGTGTCTCGTAGAAATCCCTGCGGATGTCTCGGTTAGGACAGCGTCATTGACACCGTGGTCCAGCGCACCACGGAGCAGGCGAGGCCAAGGCTGGTCTTCACCTGCGGCGCCATGGGCGTGGGGACCCCTGGCGCGCCCATTTTCTGTTATTTTTACCCCCTGTTTTTTCTTCTTGCTTCTTTTTTCTCATTTCTTTTTATCCTCTTTGTTCTTTCTTCTGGTTTTTTCTCCTCTCTCTTTTTTTTTTTTTTTTTTTTTTTTTTCGCGGGGGGGTTTGGGATCAGGTCGCAGGATGGCGTCGTGTTTTTGTTGTTTTTCCCCTTAAAGAAGGACACTCCTCAAAGATGGCGTGGTTTGGGCTTCCTCGGCAGATGCACCTCTTCTCAGATGAATCAGAGCTTCTGACGTGTGTTGAGGGGCAATTGCTGGATGACAGGAATTGTTTGAACAGGGAGGGACAAACAAATCCTATGTTCTCCAATTAGGATTTATGCTGTGGGTGTTTTCCTGAAAAAGGGACCTCGGACCCCCCTTTTTCGGACAGCTTCACTATCCACGAAAAGGAGCCATAGCAGATCCCTATTCAAGGAACCCTCATATCACATATCCATTTTGTGGGTGGTTTTTGTCATTTGAGCGGGAATGAGACTTGTCCGGTAGCCCAGATGTGAACACGTCCTCGGAGGAAAAGAATCTCGGGAAACTCAAAGGACACCCACCAGTCCCCAATTTCAGGGAATTCAGAAAACACCAACCTAGAACAAACACTGGGCGACTTCTGCGTCCCAGTCATGAGCTGTGTCAGTCAGGGTGGGTGTGAGGAAACGGTGCCGGTGGTTGTGTTGCGTGCTTTGAATATTGACCGGCAAACTGTTGGCTGCGGTAGATGCCTAGACTGTTTTGTGTTGTTGTTCCTTCTGTTTGATCTTGGTCCAATGGCGATTGCTTGTGGTTATCAAGCTCTTCTTCCTGGCGCTGTCTTTTTTGGTGTGAGAGTCGCAACATTGCGCGAGTCCTTCAAAGATGCTTGTGCCCAAAGTGATGTTCGGCGGCACCACCTGGTTTTAAGCACTTCTGAAGCATCTAACAAGCCACAACGAGAGCAGGGCAATGCCGCGGTTCAGCCCGGGGCCCAGAGCAGGCAAAGGCATCAGGCTGAATCTCCGGACAGATGGGTCCCACAGCCATGCGCACACAGCCAGTTTGGTATTGGAACCCTGAGGAAGGGCTATGCACTTAGCTGGATGTCCAACAAGGGCATCTTTCCCTTGGAGGACATTGTGCATATCGACCCGGACCACTTCAAGGCTTGGGGGCAGAACTATTAGCTGGTGGCTTGCTCAAATGCCATGCTTAGTTTCTTGGAGATGGTTTCATATCCCGATGCTTACTATAACTCCTTGGAGAGCATCTACGATTCTGTCTGGGTCCCTGGATTCGCTCCGTGACTTGCTGTTGGCATGTCGCAGGTAGAAGGAGCCAGCAGGCTAAATACTAACCAAATGCAAAAGCCTATACAACGAAAGTAACAATCATAGAACTGGTAATTAACAATCATAGCAGTGCTAATAAGAATACGCATAGTAAGCAGATGGTGCTGGATGATGGTGATGATGATGATAATGACGATGATGATGATGAAGAAGATGATGATGAAGAAGATGATGATGATGATGATGACGAGCAATAATGGCGATGTCAATCATCATGATTAGGCACCAACATCCCAGGCGCTGTCTATGGTGATGCTGATGATGATGATGGTTGATGAGGATGATGAAGAACGATGAGTGATGATTCATGATGATGGATCATTATGATGATGATGATGATGATGATGATGATGGACAAATCACGAATTATGACATGATGATGATCATGATTATGATGATGCTGATTATGATGAATCATCATTGTGCCCCCCGAACATCACCAGCAGTTATGATGATAATCATCACTACTCATTAGTGATGATGATGATGATGATAATCATCACTATGCGTCCACTACGCATCCCCAAAATCACTAACAGGGATGATAATAATCATGACTACTCATCCCCAGCATCAGTGATGATGATGATGATGATGATGATGATGATGATGCAATCATCACCCAGCATCACTAGCAGTCATGATGATAATCATGCCTACGCATCCCTGCATCTCAAGTCGGGTCTAACAGCGCACTTGAAACGTATATTAAAGACGACCACCATGATGATGATGATGATGATGAATCACTACGCATCCAACAGGGATGATGATAATCATGACTACTCATCCCTAGCGTTGGATAGCACGTGTCGGTGAAGCCTTCCTCATGACGATGCCTAGTGATGATTCATCATCATCATCCTCGACGTCCTTATCTTTTTGATATACTGTACGTTTCAAGTGTCCCGTTAGACCCGACTTGAGATGCAGGGGTGTCATCGGCATCACTACGCATCCCCAGTGTCACCAGCAGTCAATATCATCATCATGACTACGCACTCCCAGCATCACCAGCGCTCCCCAACTTGAAACGCATATCAAAAAGAGAAGGAAGAGACAAGCTACTGGCAGGATCAACCCAGTATGATCACCATGATGATGATCACGAGGATGACAATGATGATGATGACGATGCTGATGATGGTGATGATGAATCTTCGGTTATGCTCATGTGCCAGCCACTCCTCTTTAGCGAGGGGTCGGCGGATATGCGTATTAGAAACCCAACACGACCCGAAGGCAGTTCCCGCAGCTCAGGCGGTGATGCCAGAGTGGCCAGCTTATGTGGCCCACGGGCGTCTGCTGAAGGATCCCTCCTTGCCTGGGACCCAATGCCACCGGGAGAGTTGCTACATGCAGGAGAGGCATCTTTTCCGCGCAACTGTCGAGTCATAGGTTTTGCCTTCGTGAGCCCATCAATGGGTAAAGTTGCAGTGGTTTCAGTGGTATTGGAAGGGCAGCAACCCACATCCAGCTTGAATCCCATGGATTGCGGTAAATTTCAGGGCTTCCTAGTTTCGTAGTTGCAATCATCGCTGGGGGGCATCGACTATACTTCAGTGGATCCAGCCACCAGCCAGTTGCAATCCCTACACCCGCGCATCAGGTTGAGGGTTTGCCCCCTGAAAAGCAGCTTAGCTCTTCGCACAATGGCCCGAAGCTCCTTGAATATGGGTGACTTCTGAAAATAATGGCACCTGTGGAAGTGAAGCAGGTAGCCAATGAAAGCCACCAATTGAAGCCATCCCTGATTGCTTGCTTGAAGCAGTGAGTTGGAAGTTTGCTTCAAGTTAGCGACAATCACAGTCCAGATATGATGTGTACTGAGCACTTGATATCCCTTCTGCTTGTGGTGCCAATGAACGATGTCTGGCGGCTGCTAGGGTTCATGGATTGACTCATGCCGCTGGCACCTGACATTCTAAATAGTAATCTGCTTGGACTACAATTTACGTGTATATCCCCTTACAACTTGTACATGGCCGACGTAGTTCGAAGTTCGGGTACAGGTCGTCATTTCAATTCGATTGTGGACTGGGCTGGACTTGCGAGACGTTCATTCGTATCAATAACAAATCACTGGCCACGCAAATGAAACCAGACGCGCCAACTTCAGTCACGAGAATCGGCTGAAAGCGACGCGTCCGATTCATGGGCTGCCATTCCGAAAGGCACAGAGCCTAGCATCCACGCTGGGCTCGTGGATGCTAGGCTCCAAGATCAAATGCCTTATTTTGGGCGGGCATTTTGCTGGTGAATAAGTTCTGGTTGCAAAGGTGGACCCCAAAAACCGGCTTGTCCTTTTGGTTCCCTCTCAACATCTGAGAGGGGTCCTTTTCCAAGTTGGGTTGACGCCCGACGTCAAAGACAACACAACAAGCCTTGCCTTGCGTTTTTCTTCTCAGGAGATTGCCTTAGAGGAGTCTCTGCGGCGCTTGCAGCACATCTGGGTGGACGGCTCCTTACGCAGCCTGCACGCGGATTTTGCTTTTCAAATGTGCTGCAAACATGGGTATGGGTCAAAGTAGAAGGACCCCAAATTTTTCGGGCCCCCCTATTTTGACCGATTACCGACAGCTTTAAAGACAAACCAAGAGGACAACCACCATTTCAATCGTCCCAGAATGGGTGCCAGAAGCCCAAGTGTCTCTGAACAAGTGGTGGACATGAATTCCCGCATGCCCACCAAAGGCTTCCCAGTGAAAGTCCATGCCCAAGGAAACGCCGAGTTTCCCGAGGTGCGTCATTGGTCTATGGTCAATTAATTGTTCACAATAATCATTGTCTCGCTAACAATCCCAGTCTGTGAACTGTATATGTTGACCATGGCAGCGTACTTGTCGGTACTTCTATATGCCACATGCCGCCCGAAGTTATCTTCCTCTGCAGAGGAACATCCAGCGGGTATGGATAGATTTTGAAAGGAACAATTGTGAATCATGCGGACCCGACCGTAGATCAACTGTGTATTCCCAAAGACGGTTTTGCGACTTCAACCTTGGAAGTTTGAGGATGCACATTGGCAAACTGATCATGATCATATGGTCAAGGTGCCAGTTGGTGCCGCGCTGGCTTCTCTAAAACACAGGCAGCGAAGAGACCAGACGACTCATTTCTGACACATTCCACTTTTTGTGGCAGTATTTGGCAACTTGTGTTGGGACACCCTACTGGAACATCGCGACAACTAGGAACTAGCTGTCTCCAAGCCAATTGAGACAGTTGACAACACATGCCACAATGTTGAAAACAAGTATCTAGCTTGTTCAAAACCTAATCCCCACTGATTAGAATTGACCCAAAGTTTGCAGCGCGGACTACAGATTAAGAAGATTACTCAAAAACAAGGATTAAGCGGATTGCGGATTGCGATTAGGCCCCCGGGATTTCGAACAGGCTAGAGTATCAACAGTCAGCCCAACGGTACAACGATAGATGCAACGCAATTATCATCACGAGAGGTATGCTTAAAGTCATGTATCCAGTACTGCAATATATACAGAAGCTGCTAGACTCGCGGCTAAGGCAATGCCGAGTGGTTCGTGAAAGTCTTTAGCGACATCCGCGAGCGCTACCCGGCATACCAGATCGCCATCTTCAAGATCACAGCGCCGGACTGGAGTTGAAGAGAGGGGGCAACCACGAAAACACCACGAAAACACTACGAAAACACCACAGGAGCAACCGCAAGAGAGGGGGCATTGAATCTTGCCAGCACCCATTTTGGTGCCTGTCTTTTTAGGCGACCCCAAAAGTGGGGGTTGGTGTCCTCTAGGTTTCCCTTTAAGACGAACCAAGAAAGGGTGCCCTCAGAAACCAAACAAACAAACAAACAAACAAGCAGACAGACAACAGACAGACAAGCACAAACACGAACACAAACAGACGCACGCGCGCGCGCGCACGCAGGCACGCAGGCACGCGCGCACGCACGCACGCACACACACGCCAACACACACACACACGAACACCAACACCAACACCAACACCAACACCAACACCAACACCAGCACACCGAAAACACACCAACACCAACACCAACACCAACACCAACACCAACACCAACACCAACACCAACACCAACACCAACACCAACACCAACACCAACACACCCAAAACACACCAACACCAACACCAACACCAACACCAACACCAACACCAACACCAACACCAACACCAACACCAACACACCCAAAACACACCAACACCAACACCAACACCAACACCAACACCAACACCAACCACCAAACACAAACACGAACACAAACACCCACACACACACAGACACAGACACCAAAACAAACAGACACAGACACCAAAACAATCACAGACACACACACACACAGACACAGACGCAAGCACATACACACAAACACACACACAAACAAAGCACACAGACACATCTACACACGCACACGAAGACAACAACACAACAAAACACAGACACAGACGCAGACACAGACACAGACACAGACATCGGCACAGGCACAGGCACAGACACAGACACGGACACGGATCACAGACACGGACACGGACACGGATCACGGACACGGATCACGGATCACGGATCACGGATCACGGACACACACACTAACACGCGAACAGAGTAACACACTAACACACTAACACACTAACTTAAACCAGAACTTAGCCTCTATAAATAGGGGGATCTGTCGTTTTCGCCGTACCCGAAAATAAAAGCGTAAACAATCACGTAAATAAATCAAGCCTTCTGGTTGGCCTGGCCCTTAACAGGAAGAGTCCGTAAATAATATGGTAAATAGTGAGGTAAATTAGTTGTAATTCATTTTCGCTTGCCCGATCTTGAGTGACCCTGCGTGAGCTGGACTTAGTGTCCCTCATGGACAGGGATGTGTATTGGCAAGAATCTTCCCCTTCGCGAATTTAACCTGCTCATATCACTGAAGGAAGGCAAAGCGTCATGAGTCATGAACCATTGGAAGAGCCGCGACAACTTTGACATGAATGCTCATGCGTACTGGTAGCTGCGAGCCACAGTTTTCGCTCGCCGGACGCAAAAACGTGTGCGCCCATGCTTGCGCTTGGGTTGCGTTGCCATGCTAATAGGCAGCCAGAACCCCCACCAAGATACATGTCAATTTGTGTTTAGTGATCATGAGAAAGGAGGTGTTGTAGGAACCGAGGACTAGGAACACTGCGTCTTGTCAAAGAACGTCCGGTATGTCCGGTCATTGGTTATGTCAGCTGCGTGAACAACATTAAGAATATTTTGAGGGCTCTTTCCAACAATCAAGACTTAGTCAGCTTTTTGTTGGGCGACCTTGCGAGGGCCAATCTTGCAGAACATCAAGATTAACGTCTATATTCCTAACATGCACCTGGCGCACAGACACACAGACACCACCCACACACACAAACAGTACCGCGGCTTCGCCTCGTTTGTCCGCAAGACCCAGGGAATCCAAGAACCGATTCCAGAAACCCAGTTGAGCAAAGGCCGGAAAAGAGGAGCGATCGATGCTGTCACATGTGCACGCAAGTTCTGCGGACGGACCTCCATGCTCAAAATGTGTCCCCTGAACGGTTCAGAACGGTTCAGCCAGCCTTTTTCTGCGTAAATGGTTGCGTAAATTTTCGCGTAAATTTCAGACAAGTCTTTGCCTTTTTGTGCTTTGAGATTTCGGATCGCTTTCGATGTTCCGATGCCGGCCTGACCTTTTACCTAGGACTAGGAACCGCCAGCCGCGTGCTCGCGAACCGTTCCGAGGAACGGTGGCAACCAAACTGCATGCCCCTGAACCGTTCTGAACCGTTCCGAAAGCAGTGGAACGCGTGCCCCTGAACCGTTCTGAACCGTTCCGGAGGCATTGGAACCCATGCCCCTGAACCGTTCTGAACCGTTCTGGAGCCCATCTAGCAAGCAGCGCACAGAGCAGGCGTATAGTTCAGAACCGTTCTGAACCGTTCTGAACCGTTCGTCACTCAAGCTTCCCAGGAACCGTTCTGAACCGTTCAGGAGGGATTGCAGCATCATACTATGAACCGTTCTGAACCGTTCAGCAGTCATGGCAGCAGCATACCCTGAACCGTTCTGAACCGTTCAGGAAGAATTGCAAGCAGCATGCCCTGAACCGTGCTGAACCGTTCAGGAGGGATTGCAACATCATACCCTGAACTGTTCTGAACCGTTCGGAGACATTGGAGCATGCTCAGGAATTGCCCTTGCTTCTGCTCACGCATGCTTAGGCTTACCAACCACGTGTTTAAGACCTAAGATGTTTGGCCTCCTAACATTCGCACGGTAGCTGCTAAGGATTTAACAAAGATCATTCAATCAACACCTTGGGCGCTTGTTATGGAGATGGGAGGGGCGCGTTGGAGCCTTACCTTCTTTTTGCCAATGTTTTGCCATTGGCTTGTCTGATTGTGCGCCTTTTCTGTCTGTTCAGGCCTGTTACATGGCAAATGATGCAGCTTCCAGCTTCCAACATTGAGGCACACATTGTTTACATGATCTTTTACGTGTTTCTTTAAGGCCTGTTTTTGTTTACATGAATACTTACATGAAGAGTGACGTGGTTTGTTACATGACTATTGGCCGGTTTTAACCTCCACAGAGATAGAGGCTAAGTTTTGGTCTAAACACTAACACACTAACACACTAGCACACTAACACACTAGCACACTAGCAGTGACACACACACAACACAAAACACACAAAAACACGCAAACACACAAAGACACAAAAGCACACACAAACAGACACGCACACACAAAGAAACACAAACACGCACACAAACACTCACACAAACACGCACACACACAACGCATACAACAAAGACCCACACACACATGAACACACACACACACACACACACGCTCACGACACATACACACACACCAAACACGCACACACGCACCAGCCACACACACACACACACACCAGCCACAAAAAACACAACAAACACACACACACACACACACAACACTTGCACACCACACACACACACCACACAGACACACACACCACACACACACCACGCACACGCACACACACACACACACAAACACACACACACACACACACACACACACACACACACACACACACACACACACACACACACACACACACACACACACACACACACACACACACACACACACACACACACACACACACACACACACACACACACACACACACACACACACACACACACACACACACACACACACACACACACACACACACACACACACACACACACACACACACACACACACACACACACACACACACACACACACAACACCCACACGCACACACGCACATAGACACATACACACACATACACACAAACACACACCTAAACACACACGCACACAAGACACACACACACACACACACCCACCCACACACCCACCCACACACCCACCCACACACCCACCCACACACCCACCCACACACCCACCCACACACCCACCCCCACACCCACCCCCACACCCACCCCCACACCCACCCCCACACCCACCCCCACACGCACCCACGCACGCACCCACGCACGCACCCACACGCACGCACCCACACGCACGCACCCACACGCACGCACCCACACGCACCCACACACGCACCCCCACACGCACCCCCACACGCACCCCCACACGCACCCGCACACGCACCCACACACGCACCCACACACGCACCCACACACGCACCCACACGCGCACCCACACGCGCACCCACACGCGCACCCACACGCGCACCCACACGCGCACCCACACGCGCACCCACACGCGCACCCACACGCGCACCCGCGCGCGCACCCGCGCGCGCACCCCACGCGCACCCACGCGCACCCACGCGCACCCACGCGCACCCACGCGCACCCACGCGCACCCACGCGCACCCACGCGCACCCACGCGCACCCACGCGCACCCACGCGCACCCACGCGCACCCACGCGCACCCACGCGCACCCACGCGCACCCACGCGCACCCCCGTGCACGCACCCACGCGCACCCACGCGCACCCACGCGCACCCACGCGCACCCACGCGCACCCACGCGCACCCACGCGCACCCACGCGCACCCACGCGCACCCACGCGCACCCACGCGCACCCACGCACCCACGCGCACCCACGCGCACCCACGCGCACCCACGCACACCCACGCACACCCACGCACACCCACGCACACCCACGCACACCCACGCACACCCACGCACACCCACGCACACCCACGCACACCCCCACACACCCACACGCCCACCCGCCCACACGCCCACCCGCCCACCCACCCACCCGCCCACCCACCCACCCACCCACCCAAACCCACCCAAACCCACCCAAACCCACCCAAACCCACCCAATCCCACCCAAACCCACCCACACCCACCCAAACCCGCCCAAACCCACCCAACCCCACCCAAACCCACACAACCCCACCCAACCCCACCCAACCCCACCCAAACCCAACCCAAACCCACCCAAACCCACCCAAACCCACCCAAACCCACCCAACCCCACCCAACCCCACCACCCACCACCCACCACCCACCACCCACCACCCACCACCCACCACCCACCACCCACCACCCACCACCCACCACCCACCACCCACCACCCACCACCCACCACCCACCACCCACCACCCACCACCCACACCCACACCACACCACACCGCATACACACACACACACACCACACACACACACACACACCACACGCACACACACACACACACAACACACACCAGGCTGTATGATAGTAGTGATGGAAGTCGCGAGTTGGGGCTGTAGATTTGAATACAGTCAAATTGCAGACCTAGACCTTTACAGGAGGAATGACCGAATCATTTGACCTTGTATATGGTCGGCTGGAGATGCGCGGCAGCCTGCCTGCGTGTGCCATTGACACTCAGCATGCTGACAGAGATGCCTCACCCGAAGATTTGCCGTTTTGGTGGCTTTTGAGGCACCTTGTCGGCTGTTTTAAGAACGAATACCGTCCGCGAGCAAATGGGCGAGTGATTGGAACTGGGGCTGGGCTCCCTGCGCAAACTCGCGCAAACACTCTGGAGGTTCCCCGGCGAGTGAGATGCTGTGATTATGCCTTTGGAATTGCGGTGTTTGAGATGACTTTGGTTTGGAGCAGGCAAGTCAAATGCCACGGCTTGGATGAGAGGGCAGCTTGTCTCTCCGACCGGCTACGTGCAAAGGACAAAGCATCAGGCCAAGTCATCAATGAACATGGCTGTGGCTCAAGAACATGTACAACAAAATGGCACCTTGGTAAATGGAGCCAAAGACTAAAACCTGCGCAACCCTAGCTCTTAGATTTTGAGCCACACCCACATGTTGCTTTTGTTTGCATCCATGGCTTGCAGCATCTTGCAGCTCTCCGCTCAATCACATCCTTTCGATTGAAGCTTGGAAGGGCTGGGAAGGGGCCACTGGACACCATGCCGCTCGTAACACGGTCCTTGGAGTATGTGTCAAAATTAGAAAAGGGTATCTAACCCCATTGTTAGGTTTCCCCTTAAGGCAACCTGAAATCCAGTTGCTCAGCGGCACCCTTTTTCCTTTTTGGGAGGGGTTCCCTTTTAAACTCAACCAAAAAAGGATGCCCTTGTTTTCCCATGGCCACGGGGCATCTGAGAAAAAGGGTACCCTATGACCACCAACCCTTCGGCCTCTTTCCGTCCAGGAGACGGCCATCAGGGCCCGGGTGGAGAAGCGAGCGCAGCAGACGGGGCGCAGCGTCCCAGAAGAGACGCTCAAGGAATCCATTGAGGCTGTGGAGAGGCCGAGTCCCGAAACTCCGGTTAAGGGCAGCGGATGGGCTTGATTGTGTTGGTACTGTGTCAAAAGGAGGCCACAGGGAAAACGCACATTTTGTGGGCTCCCCCCGCACAATTTTTAGACAAAGCGTTTGGTTTGGCCGGTTTGGTTGTCTAGTTGGTTGGGCTGAATTCACTTGTTTGGTCGGGTTGGTCACGGTTGACGGCTTGACGACTGGCTTTGGGGCTGGTTCGATTGGCTTTGGTTTGTGACGCTTGTTTGATCCAGCGGGATTTGTGTAGCAAACACATGGGAAGGTGGCAAAATCGGGCTGAAGTCAATCCATCTCCTCTTGGTTTCAGGGTTCTTTTTATGTACCAAAAAAAAGGGAAGCAAAAAAACGGGTGGTTTTCCCTTTGGTCTCCTTAGATCCATCTCAATCCACATAGGCTATCAGTGATGGCTACCATCGGCTAAACAGATGCACTAGTGTGTGTTCTTTAAGATCACTACGCAATGTTACGAACATCCGAGCTGCAGAGCGCCAGAAGAGATGCGACAGAGATAGGAAGGGGGCTCTACTTGTTGACCTTGCCCCCCTTTTGCATGGCGCAAACAGACCAGTTGAAGTATGACATTGTCATTGGCAGATTTAGCAAATTGTTAGAGAGATACGTGGAGGCTTTCATGATGGAATTAAGATTGCCAGACACACTTATGAACAGCTCGATCCATCCCCCAGCAGGTCAGTGCTGACGTTGATGCCACACGCGGACTTCTTGGCGACTGAGTCCATTTTATTTTATTTTATATTTTTGCCAGGTTTTCTCTTGTATTTTCCTTTTGAGCCTACCCCGGGCACTTTGGGAGCTCAAAAGGTATGTCGGAGGGTTCTTGGCATGGCGAGTGTGGGCAAGCCAAGGGCACCGCTAGGGTCGCATTCCAACCATTCTTTTCAACCATCGTTCTTTTCAAAATCCGCTTTCTCTGGGTTTTTTTGGAGGTTTTCTAGAAAGATCCGGATCCCTGGAAAGAATGGAAACGGAAGGTACACCTAGAATATTCGCCAAAACAAAAAAGGAAAAAAAACACACACACACACACAAGAGACTCCATCTCCAGAAATGGAAGGTCCCCTTAGAACCGAGGCGAGTATCGACAACGCGAGCACGCCCACGCTCCAATACTTCTCCGCCATCGATCGCTCCGGGTCCTGGAGCAGGAGACGCGCTCGATCGCGGAAGCTTTTTGCGCTTGGGGCGGTGTGGTCGAATGCTTCCCGTCGTAAATACATAAATAAATAAATATATATATATATATATATTATACATAAAATAAAGATCGAAATGAACACTTAAAAATAACATAGTCAAGAAAATGCCAGTTAGGCTGACAGCGTAGGTCACAACTGAAGCATTTGATTTCATGTTGCTTCCCTGCAAACTCTGTCGAAACAGGGGTTCCATAGAAACGAACTGGGACCCAGTTTGGGGTAGTGTTAACTGTCCGAACCCATGAATTGATCTCCGTTTTGGTTCATGGTTTTGTGAGCATGTAGCCATCTTGAATGAGTTGTCAAGACTACAATGGTGTAGCGGGAATGAATAGGTAATTCACCCATCCACCATAAACCGAATTCATACACAAGCCATAGTTTTGTCAAATGACCCTTGTGATACCAATGTGAGGTGTTCCAGCCTCATGTTCGCTGAAAGCGGGGTTCCGTGATGGTCACACTGGCCCACTCAGCTGCATCGCAGGTGAGAATGTAAACACTTGCTGGACCCATTTCAGGTGAGTTTCCTTCGGTAGTGTTTGAAGGGGAAGGAGACAGACAAGAGAGAATCCGTTGAACATCACGAAGGGGCCCTTGACTTTTGGCAGGGGCCTTGTAGCCCCCCCTCCCAACAAAGGCGCTTTCCATCGGTGAGGATTACCGCGCGCTTCGCTCATACGCTTCCAGGGGTGGAGGCATTTCCGGAGGCTGGGGCCTGAAGATAGCACTCGAGCAATAAGAGGCACCCCCTCCACCCCCCCCCCCCCCAACACGGTGCTTTTCCGTTTGTTTCCCTTTAAACCAGACCCAAAAGGGTACCCACATGCATGAAAAGGCGCACCCATAGAATATTAGATGTTTGTACACCTGTGAATATAAATATTATGTTTTGTGCGGTTTCGATAGGCAGCATCTCCAGGGAAAATCGGGGATTTCCAGAAAAGTCGCGGGATCCCAGACAGCAACTCACTTCCTGAGTTAATGAACTTCATATAACTTTATACTTTTCGCGAAGACCATTTTAGTGGCAAACGCAAAGTTTGGACCTTTTTGGGCTATCCAGGGAAATGAGGCAAGTTGGCCAGTGAGTCGCTGAAAAGAACGGCCGGGATCGCTCATTGGAATGTGATATAGGCCTCTCACCTTCGTGGCCTAGGAGAGACTGTCGCACTCTCGATCCATGTTTGGGGTGCAGCCACAACGGCATGCCGGGGTCCAAATGGCGCAAAGCCACTTCACCAAGTTGAAAATGCATGTTGGAATTCAAGTCGACCAGCGATCAATCCTTCCAGCTGTCCCTTTCATCTTTCAATCCTTGTCAACAGAAATGGCCCCCTTAGACCCAAATTGATTAAGTCCAAGCTTCTTGCTTCCATTCCCAAACAATTCATGTATGCAATATTTACCCACGTGTAGCCTCTAAATGGGTCAACTGTTGGTAATAACATGGTTGTGGGTCAAAACCTAAGGTGCCTTTTGGTGGATGGTTGCTCCACTGTTGTCTTCTTAGAAGGCTTTCTGGGTGTTCACCGATAACCGGGGTTTTCACCCATAGCCATATATTCCCTACATGGATCTGGGATTTGAAGCTGGGCGCTGGTTTTTGGCCGACGGCTCGCTCCCTTCAGGCCCTGTCCCCCTTCTTCCTCACGCGCCTGGAGACCTGTCCCCAGCTTCGGCTCTTCCACAGCCTGCAGTACCGGGTTGATGGGGCCACTCAGTGCCAGCCCCCTGGCCCAAAATGGGAATCCAGGGATCCACGTCGGATGTTAAAATAAACTTGGGTATGGGTCAAACTTAAACTACCTGGGGACCGCAGGTTTTAGTGCATGTGTCCATGTACCAGGGTTTTATTTTGGGTACCTAATTTTGACCCACAGCCCAATAAGGTTGGCTTTCTGTTGGCTTTCCGGTGCAAACAAATACTCAACCCAAGTTCTTGGGGATGTTCCGCGAGCACGGCCAAATGATTGGCCAACCTCGCGGGCCTTTGGGGGCCTTCACTTTTTGGTTGGCCCTCGGTCCAAACCGGAGAGTTAGCTTTGACTGACAGAAGCGTCGCGTGACCGGTGGCTGGCGGCTCGCTCTGCCTAGACAGGGATGTGCTCCAGGAAAAAACCGAGGGTTCCCTGCGTTGACTTCCTGTTGCTTCGTATTGGTCTTTGTCTTGCGGTTGCCTTCCAATTGCTGCCGCTGTTGCTTGCCTACAGCACAGTCGCTTTCCAGCTGCTTTCCAGTTGGGGGGTTCACGGGACGTCTTTGGCTCACAGCCGTTGAAACGTACTGAGCTTTAGTCTCAAAATGAGACAGGGCATCATGTCTTTACTTGTATCGTTTGAGTATGTGTGTGTGTGTCAAAACTCGGAACCTGTGCAGGTGCTTGTGGCTGTTTCGCACTGCCCAAAAACAAAGGGTCCCTCTTGGCACATACAACCACAGGTACGGGGAGCTCATGGTGAGGGACCTGGCGATTCAGGCGAGCGGTGTGAATGGGGCACGGTTTGAGACAGCCGCAATTCAAATGATTTCGCAAAATTGGGGGACCCAGGTAGGTGGTGTCCTTCCGGTTTTCGTTTAAAACCCCCATTTGGAGACACACCCAAATGCAGTGAGGGCAGCGGAACCGTCAAAAGTGACATGGAGAGTCCTCGATTGGAGCAGGGATGAGCCATGGCCATGACCCGAGTAAGACAAGTGGGGGTTGGTGTCCAGGCGTCATAACGAGGACAAAATCCATATCGCGCAAACTTGAAACCGTGGTTGAAACCGCAACATTGGTTGGTATTTACGTTGGGGACTCATCAGAAGCCAGGGTTTCTGAATGGTGGTGCGAAATGGTATTCGTTCATCCACTGTAGGTACGTGCCAAAATGGGAGGTGAGAAATGGCGGGCATTTCGTTTTGGGTTCCGTTTAAAACCACCCCAAAAGGGTAACCCAACATACTTGCTTTGATTGTTTGTCATTGTTCTCTCAAAGTGGGTTAGTCAAGCCTTGTCTTGCCACGCACCCGGTGACTGTCATGAAATTCATGGGTCCGAGAGAGGTTGTTACTTGTGCGAAGTGACGTCTTTTGCTCAAGACAACACAAGGGAACCTAAGGGAACCTTCCACAACCACCTGCGTCTCTCTTGTGTGAAGCTGCCCTTGGATTACTATAAAGGCCGCCAAAAGGAAAATCCCACCATTCCTGCCCCCCCCATTTTGGCACGTACCTATTTAGAGTCTTGGACAACCCCATTTGGTCTTGACCGTTTCGTTTCGGGGCTCCAACTCGGAGAACAAAAAAACAACGCATAAACATGGTTCTTCAAAAACAACAACAACCGAAAGACGAGCCATGGACATGTCAGGTGAAGCTCTCCCCGGCGATCCGGGTCACTCTGGACCCCGAGACCCGGCGCATCGCGCGGATCCACGAGGAGGCGGGGCTCATCCACGAGGTCAACGAGGCAAAAAAGGGCAGACCCTCCCTCCCAGGAATTGGACCGCAGGTTTTTGGTCTTTGGTTCCATTTGCCAGGGTTTCATTTTGGGGTTACCCTAGTTTTGACTCACTATTTGGGGACATTGGGGACTACCCTCCCTCCCACCTGGCCATGGCACCTGTGGGAGGGTACCTGGAAGATCGGTTTCCTTTTGGAGGGACTCCCTGTGAGGTGCCATGTTAGTGGGAGGGGGTAAAACACTGGAACAAAAGCACAGGTCAAACTCAAAAAGCGTAGGTCCTTGGGTACCGTATACACATTCATATACTCATGTATATTCCCATAGGAAACCGACTCATGGATCAAGTGCTCATGGGCCAGTTCTGTTGGTATATGTTACCTACATGGATTGGGTCAAGTGTTTCACGGGTCAGTTCTGTTGGTATGTGTTACTAACCTACAGTCGGATTGTTGCGGAGAGAACCCAAGTCTCGATCCATTTTCAGGATACGAAGCTCCTTTTGGGAATTGGAGTCCCTTTCTTGGGCAAGCCATTTGAGTTTGTGCAGTAGCTTACCAAATCAAACGACTCTTCGCCTTGTTAATCTCCTGCATATGCACTAACCAACGGCAAGTCTGACCCAGTTTAGTGGAGACATGATTGGTGGATATAAATCCCCAGAAAAAGGATGTTTTGTGGGTTTGTAGATTTTACATGTTTTTGCATTAAACAAATATGTACTTACTAGAATGGTTTATGATTGAAAGCACGGGGGAGTTGTTTCAAGGGATTCGTTGAATCTGTTTGCCACCCAAGGCGGTGTCAGTGGCCTTTCTGCACCCGCTGGACACAGAGGATTTGGACACCTCCCACCTGACCCATGCGGAGAGTCAAGCGGCGCCTGGGCAGTTGATTGTTCTGTGGAAATCACTTGGTTGTACATGGATGTCATGCGGAACCAGTGTTACTTTCTTGGGCAAATGTCTAATTTGACTGTTGCTACCCCAATTTATTAATCGGGGGTGTTCGCCTCCAAAAGTGATGATTCCCCGCCCCCCCGTCCCTAAACTCAGAGACACCCCACACCCCTATTCATAAACTGGGGGTGATTAATATGGGGCCAACATGAAATTAAGTTGAAGCCTCGCCAATTGAAGCCCCACAAGGAAGGCACCGCGGGCCGGCTCCGGGCCCTGGGGTGTTGTTACACATGCCCCGGGCACCAAGTCGGAGGCTCATGTGAGAACTTTGCAAGTGGTGAGATATAGGGGTTTCTTGTTTTGGCACATGCTACATGCGCCCAGAGAAAGCAGGCATACCACTCAATAGCTGCATCCCCATTTGAACAAAAACTTGTTGTTGGTTCAAGGGACCAGGGTTTTCACCAGTGCGTTTAGTCCTTTCGGCCTCAAAGACTTGACCTGAACCTGATCTCTTGTTGATGCCCGACCACGCCATCCCAGTTGTGGGCTGCTTTCAGGATACACTTGGTTCGATCATTTGCAACGATTTTGTAAAGTGCCTTCATGATGAAGGTTCCTGTTTTGGGGGGCATTTCTCGTTTCAGGGTCGTGACAATTCGCCCAGACGTGCAGTAGCATGTTCCCCTTGTGGGGGGAAGCAGGAAAACTGGAATTCTTGGTAGCGGGATGTTTGCTTCCAGGTCAAGGTGGGCGCCTTCGGCAACTTCTGCCTCAACGACGAGTTGGTGGCATTGAACGCAGTCTCCAGCGCCCTGCAGCAAAGGGAATGGAGGGGTATTTATTTTAGGATTTGTTTCTCGTTTTTTTTTTTTGTTAATATATCTTTTTTCGCTTTTGGCTTCTTGGCTTTTTGGCTTTCTTGGCTTTTCGGCTCCTTGGCTCCTTGGCTTCTTGGCTTTTTTTGGCTTTTCGCATCCTCTGCTTTCCCAGTTCCTCTCCGGGCTTTTTGGCTTTTGCACCCTTTCATTGGTTTTTGGATTTGGCTTCCCGCATCATCAGCATCACCAGTTCATCCCTATTTGAATCATCACTTCTTCGAATATCATGGGGGCAAGCCCCCCCCCCAACTCACCCGCTACTGTTTAGATTGTTTGCAGAGTAATTGCACCCCTATTTGAATCAACACTTCTTCAAACATCATGGGGGGGGGGGGGCTGCCGCCTTCCCCCCGCTACTTTTCAGATTTCTTGCAGAGATTGAATTGCACCCCTATTTGAATCATCACTTTTTCGAGCGTCCAATTTCGCGAGAAAATGCTGCAAAATACAACATTTTAGGCAATGTGTTTGTATGTGCGCACTTCTTCGAACATCATAGGGGAAGCCACCCCCGCCAACCCTCCCGCTGCCCTTTAAATTCTATCGCACCCTTTCTTGAATCATTGCACCCCTACTTGAATCATCACTTCTTCCGACATCATGGGGGGCCCCCCAACCCCCCCGCTACGTTTTAAACTTTCTACAGAGATTTAATTGCACCCCTAGTTGAATCATCAATTCTTCGAACATCTTGGGGGGGGCTGCCGCCCCCCCAACCCCCCCGCTACTGTTTAGATTTCTTTTACAGGCCTATTTGAATCATCATTTCTTTGACCCCGTCAACTCGCCAGCTACTTTTTTGATTTTGTTACCCACGATTTGTTGGTGATGCTAGGGATGTTGGTCGGACAGATATTGAAAGCGATGCTGGGGATGTTGACGGGCTAGTGTAAAATGCGTCAATTTCGCAAGATAATGCTGTAAAATACGACATTTTACTGGCCCGGACGAAAAACGCGGGGGGGGGGGGGGGAAAAACAAAAAACAAAAACCAAATAAATCTGCACCCACAGGGAATGCATGGAGTACACTCACCAAGTTGCCAGAAATGGATACTGGCCCTTTTTGAGTCTAGCTCTTTTTAATGGTTTCAAAGGGACACCAAAACACAAACCCACACTGTTGGGGGGTCCGACTCCTTAAAAAACATTCCCAGTCGGTGTTTCTTACAATTTCCCTTCGGGTGCGGCCCCGTTTCCCATTTAATTTGGATGATTCAAACCTCATCTTTCGAACCATTTTACAATCAAGCTGTTGGGTGTGGTAATGTTTCAAGGACACACAATTCACGCAAGCAAGCCGAACTTGGGTGAACCCCAAGAAAAGAGTTGATAAATGCTTGGCATGTGCTTTCCTGCTGGCTTGGCGGCTGAATGGCTTGATTCATTGCAAAGGTATCTATCAGGGACACTTTCCATGTTGCTTGTATGATTGCTTGCGCACAGAAATCACAGAACAGGATGTCGCCTTGGCAGTGTTTGAGTTGCTTTGCTTCACACAACTTTGCGGTATTGCTTCTTGGCCATCCACGACTAGCTACTTGTATAGCCACTGTGGTAGTATAACAAAAGCTTCAATATTGATTTCATCATCAACGAGAAAGAGACGGAGCTGCGCACAAACCAAGCGACTTGCCTATCCTTGACAGGGAGCGTGGGATGCACATGAACCACCTATCCCCCAAACCGGAATCCAAGCTCTGCTGTTTTAGGTTTTGTGGGAGGGAGGACTGGGGAAGTTTCGACAGTGCAGCATTCTGTTTGATGTTCCATGATTCCCTTCGGCCACTTGTCCGAAATGTCAGATGTACTTCGTGTAGACAGCACTAGCCAGTCGCCTGGATGAGCACTCGGTATGAAAAAAAAAGTCCAAGGAAAAGACTTGCTAGCAGTACTGCGGGTGGACAAAGTGCAGGATTCTGTCCATCCACAGTAGGGGTCATGAAAAATATCCGCAGGTAGCCTGAGATGAACTATCAAGCTCATAGCTCATGGCTCAAGCATTGTGTCGGGAATGGCATGGCTTGCCATTCTCGGTGATAACGTGGGTGCACTTGTCCTTTGCCCTTGATGTTTTTTGACCATACATGGGTGTGTCTTTTTGTTAGGGGACCCCCCCACAAGCAAAAATGGTGGTTTTCCCGTGGGCTTCCCTTTAAAATCACAAAGAAGGAGTAAAAATCAAGAAAGACAGACCCGCATTGCACCCCATCGTTTCAGCGTTCCCATTCGTACAGGGCACCCTTTGTACCTGCATTCCCATTCGGCCTGCTGGCCCTTGTTTCAGCATGCGTAAAAAAAGTAAGCCATCTTTATGGCGAGTTGGTTGGATCTTTGGGCTTTAACTTACTGAGACACAGAGGATGTTTTATGGACCCACCAAAAGTCAAGCTGTTTGCAGAGAGGTCTACCGCAACCAAGTCATGTCAGAGCAGAGTTTCCTTTCATCTAAAATTCCCCTGAAGCAAAGCGCTTATTCAAACGAACCCTTTCATCAGATTCTAAGAAACAGGTTCCAGCTCGCACCAAAAGAGAATCATGTGCGTGGCATCCAAAGACGCATTTGTTAGAGCCATTCACAGGGTCACCCAAGGCATTTGCTTGTTTCAGCTCTTGTCTCACCCATCTCCTTTGATTTTTCCCGAGACCAGGGGCCCAAAACATATGTGGTGTGTCTGTTTTAGACCCCCCCAAATCCCAAATGGGCGGCTTCCTTTAGGTTGAGGGGTGCCTTTTTGTCGAGGGCAGCCCTCTTTTTGCCGCTTTTAACGGGACGCCAACCGGAAACCCACATTTTTTTTGGGGAGCCCCCCCCAAAAAAAAAACACAAAAACAAACGGAACAACAAGGGATTCAGGAAGCCTATTTCTTTTGAGGACCCAAACAAGCACGACCAACAAAAAAAGAAGCATAGAAGTAAAGGATTCAGGAAGCCTTTTTTTGAGGAACAATCCCCAAACCAAACACGACCTCCATATTTTTGTTCCCAGCCTCGTTTCGCCGCCCCCGAGGCAGCGCCACGGAGCGGCAGCCGGCGATGCTGGAGTTCGCGGACTCCATCGCGGTGAGCCGTGAGCAGGCGCAGGCGCTGCACGAGAGCCGCTGGTCACCCGTGCCGCTGGAGCACATCAAGGCCGTGGGGATCTGGGTGAGGTATTCGAAGGCTAGCTTCCATTTCCATTAGCAACATCCGAATCTTTCGAGCAAACCCAAAACCCTGGGAAAACTGGTTTTTGAAAAGAACCCAGGGATCCGCATTTTTCTAGCAAACCACCGGAAAAATAGCCTGGGAAAACTGCTTGTTGAAAAGAAGGATGGTTGAAAAATGATTGGAATCAACGACTAGAATTAGAACGACCTCACACGACCTCACCCCAAATGGTGGGTTATGTGGGAATAGCCCCCCAACCACCGCAAGTTTCAGGTGGGTGAATATGAAAAGTCACCCAGATGGATACCGAAATCCCATGGCCCCGGTTCCGAACCAGAAACCGTGGACGGTGTCTGAGTCGATTCCATAGTTCTGTACCAACTTAGATGTTCCGAGCTCGAAAAATGGTTTCAAAGTGGATGAATTCCGAGACCGCAGCAAGAAGCCCTGGTGTCCGAACAAAGAGGGAGATGTAGGGGAACACTTGATATCACTAAACCCCTGGTTGAGTAGTACTGTAGGTTGCGCTTGGTGGCTCCCAGCCATCCGGTTCCTTAGGTGCAGAAGGAAATTGCTTGGGCTTGGTGGTTGGGGTTCCGAATTTAAGTGACTGAAGCTAAACACTGTTAGCAGCGGATCTGAAGACAGCCCATGTGGATGGTTGCGAACTCCGAGACCGGACCCCTGGGTGAAACCAGAACATTTGTTGGTATCATCGGAAACCAGGGTTTTCTGAACGGCGGTGCTGGATTTCGTCCATCCACAGTAGTGTCCTTTTGATCGGTCAGATTGGTTAGAAACACATGGGTCCTACTGGTTTAGATGGGTTATTTTCCATTTATCAGGGCTAGCTAGTTTTCCACAAGGTCACCTATGAAATCTTGGCTGGTTTCTTGGTTGCTTGGTTGCTTGGTTGGTCGGTTGTTTCGTTCGTTTGTTCGTTCGTGCTTTCGTGTGTTGGTTGCTTGGTTGCTTGGTTGCTTGGTTGCTTGGCTGCTTGGCTGCTTGGTTGCTTGGTTGCTTGGTACCACATGTCCTTTTGGAGAAGGCTGGTTAATGATTAGATCTTGCTTGAGACCAGCGCCATCTATTTTTAAACAGGATGCTAATGATTGGAATTCATTAGAACCAACCTGGAAGCTGTGGAACCCATACATTTTGGTTGACTTCTAATCAACATGGTTGCTTGCTTGCTTGCTTGTTTGTTTGTTTGTTTGTTTGTTTGTTTGTTTGTCTTTCTGTTTGTCTGTCTGTCTGTTTATTTATATTTGTTTTTCAAAGGGTCCAGAAGTCCCCCAATAGATCCGCAAATTGGGTTCTCCTGATGATTCGTCCGTTGAACGAGGAGCCTCTTCTTAAATGGATGTGCCGAGGGCATTGCATGAGTTGTTGGCATGTGTAGGGATATGCTGAGTTGCTTGGCATTTGGCCCTGCTGTGTTCTCTGTTTGGTGTTGTGCTAGGCTTTGTGCTATTCGAGAATATAACACACTGCTTGCATTGGGCTACGAGGGTGATTTGTTGAGCCACTTTGGAGGATATCGATGTCCCACATTGACATGCTTTGTTTGCGAGCCCAAAGGCTGCGGCAGATAGGCTGCCGGCAACATGCAGCCAACATAGCCATTCTTTCAAGTCAATCTGCTTGAGAATCGTTTTGGCACAGCTTTCATTTTGGCAACCCAGCAGCATGTGTTTTTTTCTCCGGGTTGCTAGGCCCTCAGCGCTTCGCCAGTTCGCCCGGCTGCTAGGCCGCAGGTGTGGAGCGCTTCGCCTTTCTGTCGCCCTTGGAGAAGCTGGCGGGTCGTCGCGTCAGCTCAAGCAGCGGCTTCGTCTTCGAGATGCCGGGGAAGGACTACGCCTTCTTTCCCATCATCGCCTCCTACGAGTGAGGGATGTCGGTTGTGGGGGATCTCCGGGTTTATCCGACCACTTCTGTGTTACATGGAGTCTCCCCCTTTATATGGGGTTAGGTCCCCCAGTAGCGCCCTTTTACCCTTTTTTGGGGAGGGTTCCCCTACTAAAATAGACTACAGAAAGGGTACCCTTATTCTAACCTCTCTACTGGAGGACCTAGGGGGGGGTGAGTTTTTGGGAAGCCTTTTTTGTATCACAGTGGTCAGATGGCCTCGGGTCGAGGACTGTGAGCCATCTACTCAATGCTTGTTGGCTGGTCCTGCCGGTGCTTCAGAGTGGGCCTCGTGTTTGGCAGCTTTGGCGATAGAGAAGCGCTACGGAGAAAGGAAGGCCAACTATGTCAGTTGTGATGGCCCATTGACTTGGTTCCGGGGGGTCGTTTTAGAGACATGGAAGGGCTACGTGCACCCTGTTGCATTGAACTCAATGTAGGGGGTAGTGATCCACCAGACCCTCGTGATAACCTTCATATTTTTTTCAGGCTAAAGCCCAACCTTTCTCCCAACGCAAGCTATCAGGGAATTACATCTATCAGATATTGGTGTTATAGATGGGCTTCGCGCCCTGCCTCCCTCAGCATGATATGATGGATCAGGACGCTCCAGCCGTTCTTGTGGCAACCAGCTATTTGTAGTTGGAGTGGGATCAACGGATATCAACGGGCTTTCCTAGTTGTAGTCTTTTCCGACAACCTGTAGGCATCGGCACAGTGCCAGAAAGCAACATTTGAAGTTTTCAAAATTCAGTGTCTCCCTGCGGGTCGAAGTGATGCACACATGGCAATGCCACGCTTTTCTGCCATGTCATGTGTTGCATTTGGGGAGTAACACTGCTCAATCGCATGCTGGAGACGCGGTGCGACGCGAACTGTGTCGAATCATCCGGCTGGGCTCACAAAAGCCCTGGAACAGCTTAGTGCTTTCCGTGTAAGACAAAAACTTGCAGGGCGTGTGGCGGTGTCGCGAGTCAACACAGTCCCAGGCTGGCTAGGTTTGACTGGATGCAAGGGAACATCCTGCTCGCTTATGCAGGATGCATCACCTTATGATATTGGAGAGGCATGAATCCTTCAGAGGACAGCTGGCACGCCTTGTGATGAGTTCTGTTTATACTTGCGCAGGGTGCGGCAAGCGTGGGGGCGACCCAGAGCGAGAAGGGCGGGTTAGACTCGCGCTGATCTGCGTGGTCTCCAGAAGGACAAGTTTTGTTTGAAAGGGATCTGTGATCCGAGGGTTTGTGTATTGCACCCTGAGATTACACCCTTAGGAAATGACCCAGAATGGTTCAAAATATCACGGTTTTATCCGGAAATGTGCCTAAAGGGGGTCAATACCCAGTGGGTGTATTCCCAGGGTGTAGTGCAAAAACCTTTAGATGTGAGGTTTGCTTGCTTTGCAACCTTCATCCAGGACACTCTCCACTTTTGTCGCCGGTGATGGGTGTATTGTCGAGTTCGAGAAATGAACCATTGCCAAACCATTTGGCTGTGTTGGTGAAATAGAGGTTCTCATTGCCCACTGACTTGTATCAGCTGGGACAACTTTCATGATGCGGGACATGTCTGCTGCGATCGGTGTGTCGAAACCCGGCCGCATGCTTGGTATTCTTTCTGCATTCTCTTCACCTCAAACAGAGACACCATACCTCTGAGCCTCCAATTCAATCACAGGATTTCCAGGCGGAGCGTCCAGGTGTCACGCAATGTGCAAGAAAGTAGCGTCACGTTTGGTCTTGGCACGGATCGTGGCAGTCAGAAGAGACAGCGCTTGAATGGCAGGGCGGGCTGTTTGTGACACCTCACCTATTCCCAAGTCGCATTGTGCGAGGATCTAAGAGTTCAAATACCAGGAGAACTGTTTGAGCTTGAAGGCTTGCCTTGGACATGTGCAAGCCATTTTGCCAAGGTTGTCGTGAAAAGCCACGGGAAGGATGTTCGCAACGTTTGCAGTCTGGGGCGGCTGCCGGATTAATGAGCTGTAATCTTTTGTGTGCACTATGTTTATCAATGTTTATTTATTGCAGACACCCAGCATAGAACATGTTGTTCTGAGTTTTGCAGCTGGATTTCTGCGATGAGGGAAGCAGGGCGAGCTTTCTGCGCGGAGAATGCTTTGTAACTCGGACTGGTCCTATTTCGACAGCCACATTGAATTCGAACTGATGTACTAGTTCACGTTGTGTCTCAACACCATATTACACCATGTGAGCTCAGCAGAAATGTGTCACAAGAAGGTTTCCCTGGTCCAGGAATGGGACCAATGGGAAGGAACGGCGACGCAAGGAGTCGTGTTCTGCTTTGTTTAAGGCGGCCACTACCTCGTCTACGAACGGCGAGGCTTTTGCAAGCCGGGGCCCCGTGCTCGTTTGCGTCCAGGTGAGCAGCTGGAGGTAGATGTGTGTTGGATTGATGTGGCAAGCCACGGATTTGGAACACATCACACACGCACACACCGGGAAGGGTTGGGATACCAAAGAATATCAGCAAGTCAGTGAAAGGCGCCCGGCAAATGAGGCAAGCCAAGTAAGCTGATATAAGTATGGAGGGGTATGTTTGAAGTTCTTTTTTCCCTGCACACTAAAAGTATTACTGATTGGGTTGCTTTCTTCATTTGTATCATTCAGCCCTCACAAAGGGCCACCAAGTTCAGGCCAAAAGACGCCAACTTGACTTCTCCTTAGTGAGACCGGTAGTGACAATGACAGGAGAAAGTCCCGAGGGCCGGACCTTGCGATGCGGTAAATTTGCAGCATGTAGTTCCATTATTCATTGTGCAACCAAAATAGCGTCAACTTGTCCAGCCTATGTGAGGCCACCCCCTATTTGTTTGAACCCCCCAGGCTAGGGCTAGTTTCTGGATGGCAGAATGAATAAGCTAATTGGTAAAAAGTGCAAAGCATTTGCAACTGTCAAGCAGTGGCAAATGACTCCGTTTGCCCAAGCATGCGTATGTGTCACTTCAGGACCGCGAATATGATGTACTCACAAGAGACTTGTACTGGTGCCTAGATGCATATTTTGTTCACATTCGCTATATACACGCTACCGGTACTTGACTAAATCGCAGTATTTGTACAGTTGAAGTGTCAGCACAAAGCTGGCTACAAGTCTGTTAAGGTGCATCAGATTGGGTAACCCTTGGATGCAGCTCACACCTGGGATGTTCTAAGATTCTGGGTTTTGAATGCGGCCTCAGAGTTCAGTTCGACATCTTTTTTTCCGCTTGTTCCCACTAGTCTTTCCTTTGACAGCCGATACTTTCATGGCCAAGTTCATCTTTATCCAGCTTTGGAGCTGATTTCATGGCCACCGAGTTCATGTTGGTTCCAGTTGTTGGACCTTTTGGACCTTTTGGCTTGCCAGTGTTCTTCTTGTCAAGGCTCTTCTGGTGCATTGGTCCTACCCCACGGCCTTTGGTTTGAGGCTCGCGCTCGCCGCAGTACAAGGTGGATCACATCGGTAGGCACGGGGCTCGCAAGCCTCCGAGTTGGGGGTTTTGTAATGTAGGAGTCGGTCCCCTTTTCGGATGGTTGGAGGGGAAACCAAAAGGAAACCAAAAGCAAACCAAAAGGAAACCAACCGCCTGAAGGGGTCCCCATAGTTTGGAGAGAAATTCCGCTATTGCCTGGAAGATGGCCGGAAGTGTTGGCGGCGATGGCTCTTCACTTCTGAATACCTTTTGAATCCGATTGTCCCATGCAGGTTAGCGTATCTCTTGACCAGGGTGTGCATACACGCTTGCCGTATTGGATGCCCCGTTGAAGCTTTCTTTTGGGCATGGCGAGAAAACGCAACGCCAGCTTCCATTTCTGGAGCATTTGAGTGGCAAGAGTATTCATTCATTCCTCGCTCGTGAAGAGTCTCAAGCAACACCACATGTGCCATGCTATGCCATGCTTGTACCGTTTTGAAGGCCGGTATATGGACGTTGGCTTCGACCGCATTATATATATATATATGTTTGGACATGGCGCCCCGCTTGTGTATCCTTAGGCACTTTTAACAGGGATCTGAAACAGAACAGGTTTCTTCGGAAGTGAGTGTGGGTTTGTTCTGCTTTCACGAAAGTTGTTTGGGGGTGTGTCTTGACTCTTGACCTTGGCAAAGCGAAAAGTACCGAAGGGCAGGGTGCTGTGTCTGAATGAACGGCAGTTTGTTCCAGAATCTGTCAACGAAGCTTCGATCAACGGCCGATCCATTTCGCTTGGCTTGCCTCTGTTCAACGTCTCCCCCAAAATTGGCTCGTTTGCAAAAAAAGGGCTCCCTTCTTTTTCCAGGGACACTGAACAACTGAGATGAGCAGCCCCACTAAAATTGTCTTCCGACGGCCGGGACTTTGGGGTTCACGTACTGCGAGGCGCGTACCCGGGCCGGGGGGCAACCGCAGGCACATGAAGTCCTCGAAGCTTCGCCACGCCTGGGTCTTCTTCCTCAGCGATGCCGAGCTCAAGGCGTGAGTCCAGCGAAGCAATGCGACGGAGGGAAAGGCAACCCAGACCTCCAATGCCCAAGGTTTCCTGTTGGATGGAGGGGTTCCCTTTATAACAGGGGGTGACTTTGTTTCCTTGGCCACAGGTCCTAGGCAATGGATGGTCAGGGTTCCCTTTGAGTTTCTCAAGTGCTCAACAAAGCGTGACCTTTTCATGGCCACAGGTCTGGGCAATGGGTGTCCTACCTGTGAACGTGTACATTTGTATTGTGGAACTGCATCAGCTGGTTTCTTTTATGCGCCAGGGACTTTTCGGCCGCATATACAGGATTCTAGGATGGAGCATGCACGATATCGAGTTAGGTTCAGATGGGAATTGGGCTGATGTTGTAGATGGCACAGATTGCATACACGTGTTTTCCCCAGTCCTGCCCACTGCGGTCCAGGTTCCACGGCCCATTTGCGTGTAGTTGGAGGATTGGGCGAGGCAGACCTTGAGGCAGACCTTGATTTGATTCAGTTGGCTTCGCTCTCGTCATAAACTTGGACCCCAGCGCAGACATTTGCTGGCCCAAATCACCGAATCACTGCAGGGCCCTCCTTAGGTCCTTGCGCTGGCAAGTGGAGGATCACTTCCTGTTGCAACTTTGCCAGCACCGGCTGAAATCACCAAAACCATATTGACGCACCTCCGTCACTAGCTTTCGTTTTTAGTCGCACTTGGATTGTTTTTTTGGGGGGATGAATTGTGCACATGGCACAGCTGGCACGCCACATTCTTTGCCTGGCATCATGCGATCTTCAGCCAGGTTCTTGTGTCAAAGCTTTTCCTGTTGTCCCTCCTTTTTGTTCTGGCCCCTTTCGACTCAAAGCCAGGCTGGTTGATCTAGGGGTTGATTCCCCATTCTTTTCAGCCATCGTTCTTTTCAAAAACCAGCCATTTCCCCAGGGCTCTTGGTGGTTTTCTGGCAAGAAGGATCCCTGGGAAGTTAGCCCTAGAGTTGAAATCCGTTTCACGTCGGCAAGGCCCCCAGCCGGGGCGTTCCTCGGTTTCGGCGAAACCGCCGTCGGAGGTGGAGCTGGAGCACAGCCGCTTCTCGGGGAAGAAGAAGGTGCTGGTGGACGGGAAGCTGCTCTTCTCCACCACGGACAAGCCCCTTCAGCGGAACGAGAGACCAAGTCTAGGTCCCCCAGTAGTGGCCCTTTTCCCTTTTTTTCTTTGGGGGGGGGAAGGGTAATTACCCTTATTCTAACCTCTCTACTGGAGGACCTAGCTGCCTTTTGGTTTCCCTTGAAAGCCAACCAACAATTGGCACCATCAACAAATAACAGACCCAAGTTGTCATGGTTGTTCCACAGGAACTCCCACGAAACCCCTCGGGTCGTGTTAAAATAGGGTGCCTTCATTGGTCTCTTTAAGCTTCCTATGTTGTGCTTAAACCTCTAAAAGGTCAGCACCTAAACATGATGCGGCTGTTTTGTTTGCTAGTCCTTCGCGGGGCAGGAGGTGTGAAACGTGGGGGCCTTGGGTAGGCTGCTTAGGGTTCGCTTCTCCTGACAGCAACCAGCCAAAAGTTCCTTCGTTCGATATGGATAGGTCAGGCTCAAACAGGACGTATCGGCGGTCCGAAGATGCGGTTCAGACTAGGGATTATTTTTGTGAAAGAAAGGCTGGTGCAAACATGTCACTGCGTGGCAGTCCTCGTTGTAGACCGGGCAATCTGGGTTTCGATCCTGCGGTGAGAGTTTCCCGTGCCAGGTCCTACTCTAGGAAAGAAACACATGCGCAGATCAGGGATGAGACGAATGTCCTGATCCGCGCTTGCTGTTGCCGGAAGTAATATCCAATATCTTTGCTGGCAGAGGTACCAACCAGGGAGCCATATTTCAAGTCCGAGCCTTCTCCTCATGTGGCTGTGTCCGCGTTTTTGAGGGCACGTTGTTGGGGTTGCTGCAAAGGGAAACCACAGGAAGCCATTGATTTTTGGGGTTCGTTCAGAAAAGGCGAGCCTGTTTGTTTACAATGTGATTTCAGAATATGCTTGTGTGATGTTGAATCTAAGTTGCAATCGTCTCCAAGCGTCTTTTGATTTTTCAATAAATGCCTGGACAAAAACATGTTGGTAGCCCGGCTTTTGGTCCAATGTGGGTGTGTCTTTCGAGGGACCCGTTTGGGGTGTTATTCTCGGGGAAATTCCAATGAACAACCAGCAGAGGGGTGTCCTATTTCGGGATAAGCCCATGTGAGCCACAATCAAACCCCGGGTAGATGAAGGTTAGTAAAACCATAAATAGCTGCGGATATCCGGCTTCTTAATTCTTGAAGCATGGTTCTGGGGATCGACCATTTTAATACCGGGTTTTGATTATGACTGCGCTGTTGGTTTCTGGGTCTCCACCCGAAGCCCAGGCACTTGACCTGGTGCTGGCAGCACCCGGAGAGCAAGGCCAAGATCAGCCTCCACTCGGAGAACGGCCGCCACTCCCTTCGCTGCGAGGAGCCAGATACGGAGAACGGAGCGGCCTACGCCAGCTGCGACTACGAGGAGCGGCCTACGCCGCGTCCAAGCGAATGTGAAACCTACTGTGGATGGACGAAATCCTGCCCACCATACTGTGGACGCTGTGGATGGACGAAATCCATTTCGCACCAAAGAAGCCCTGGAATGATGATTCCCCTGTAAATTCCACCGAACAATGGTTTCAACCATGGTTTCAAAGTGGTTCAGGGTCTCGTCCATCCACAGTGTCAATCCCGGTCCCAAACGAGACGGAAACAAGATCGACATTGCAGCAAGCATATCATTTATTCACTTGCCCAAGGGCGAACCTTTTTTACTTTTAAGTTTCCCCATTTTGGTCCATTTGTAGTCATGGCCCCAAAAGGTTAAGTTTTTACTTCTGGGTCCTTTCTGCAAATGAGTTGAGTCAACTGCTCATGAGAAACCGGCCGTCAACATCTGGCTGGGGGGAGAATTGGTTCTGGATGTTATGAACTTTCGAGAGTCTTGAACCTATTTAGCTCGTTGATGTGGTTGTGGTAGTGCTTGCTGACCTTGGAAGTGTGCCAAGTGTTTGCAGAGTTTTCCGTTGAGAACATAGAACAGTAACCGGCACTCCGCGTTTTAAAGGATTACCATTTATCGCCTGTGCACGGTGCACCTCTGAATATGGGTTGCCCAAACCAGGTTTGTTGAGACATATGTTTCATCATTATTCGACTTGGTGATGTGATCACGGCTGCTAGCCTACGTGCATCCCAGAGAACATCAAATCAGGGTATGGTTTGCACACCAGGCTGATTGGATGAAGATGCGAGTTCCTTTAGGTGTGTTCTTCCTGAATGACACGAGTATCACCTCTCCGTTGCTTTTGCTTGCAACCAACATATGGCGTCTCCTAAATCCGGCAGTTCACTTTCGATTTCCTTTTCAGCTTGTCCCATAAACATCTTCGAACCCTTCCATGTCAGGTAAACCAACTAGCAGGGGAATCCCCCCATATCCCCGCTCCCTCCGTATCCCCGCTTGTTTTGTCCAACCATGGAGGACTCGGTGCTTCCAGAGCAGCCGCAGTCGGGGATGTCGGGCATGAGCATGAGCCCCTGCTCCGTAAGCCAGCTAAGGACTGCCGTCGGAAACCGCTGCGTGACGCGTGCTGAATGTTAACCCATTGGGCTGTTTCCCTTGAATGGAAAGCGGACCGCAAGGGCATGCTCGTGTGTTTTTTTCCCATTTTTTGTGGTGCATCACCCTCTTTAGCAACCAGCAAAGGCGTTTGAGCTGGCTATGCATGCCAGCTGTCGACCTAAACAACCCGTGTATGCAGTGTTTGCCCACAAGAACACCCATGAGTGGGCCAAACATATACCTGTACAACGGTATATATTTCCGTACCAATCCATTCATTTTGTGACTTCCATGGAAAGACGGCACAAGCCTCAGACATAGCAACCACGACCAGCATCACCGGAGAGGATCTCATACCACAAACTGAACTCAGATGTATGTATTAACTAGCAAAGGCAAGCCACATTGGCAGCGGGTTTCAGGGTTTTCAGCAGGTTTCAAGCAAGTGCAGGTCTCCATGACTTCAAGTATGCTGGAGATGATTTTTCGAGCAGACGTGCGTGCGATTGCATTCCTCGCACAAAATCTCTCTGCATTCCTGTGGAATGCGTGCGAGCAGTTGATCCAAAGCCTCAAATTGGCTCATATCTCACTCCAGGGCCTGAGGACCCAACATACCCTCCTTCCCAGGTAAAACGCCGGGTGTTGTTCAGGCACCAGCATCCAAACATCGTGTCTTTCCAACTTTTCGGCCCCAGTCTTTGGGGCAATTCGATGGGCCATGGGTTCGGTCTTGATGACGGAAGATCCCTACGGACTCAAGATGCTCTGCCAAGTGGAAGCATATGGTAGTGAGGGGAAGCTTGTAAGACCAAGCAGCATGGAGTCGTCTAATCATGTTGATGAAGTGAGGGCATTCCACAGTCTGCTCTTCATCTTGTAGCTCCTTCCCACATGCAACACTCTGATAGCTCGCTCACCACTTTGCGGCCAGTTGGGAAGATTGTTTGTGTGTCAAAAATTGAAGACCTCTCCAACTAGTTGATCCATCATTTCTTGTCTCGCATGTTGTAGGTGCAAAAGCTCAGACTCCGGGCTTCAGGGCTTCCGGGCTTCAGGGCTTCAGGGCTTCAGGGCTCAGGGCTTCAGGGCTTCAGGGCTGCAGGGCTTCAGGGCCAGAGGCGAAGCAGCTGCTGGTTCAGGACTTTTCTGGGTCCTAGGACCGACAAATCCAGTGGAATCATCCACTGAAATCAGCCCTTGGAAGGCTTCCTACTGTGGATCGTTGCGAAATCCATTTCGCACCACCTAGCAAGCCATGGTTGACACCATGGTTTGTTGGTATTTACGTCGGAGAATCGAACCATTTCAGGGTGTCTGAACGGTGGTGCGAATAGGATTTCGCGACCATCCACAGTATCGCCCCCCATAGGCAGACCCAAAATGGCCCGGCTTCGAGCCCGCCAGGTTGAGAGCTTGGCGTTGTTTGAACGGCGGGGGGGCTTGAGGGGCTCCGGGTTTCTAGTTTTGTTGGAGATAAGTTTGGCTTCCCCAAAACTAGAAGCCCGACAAAAACAACAAAACCATGAATGTTGAAGAAAAAACGGGGGAAACAAAAAAACTAAAAAAAAAAAAAAAAAACTATGAGTTCTTGCAGAAATAAAACCACTTTCTGGGGCGCGGCTCCTTGCGCAGGACTCCGCGCTGCGCCACGCCGAACGACCGCGAGGAGGTGGCAGAGGTGGCGCTGGACTCGCCGGAGTCGGTGAGGCGAAACCTGGCGCCCAGGTACGAGGAGGAGCCGCGCCCATGGGTTTCGTGGGTGAGCGGCTGGGTGGTTTGACGGGTGTAGCCGCAGGCCCAAAGTGAAGCGGATGTCCCATATCAGGTTACTAGACCTGGGTGTGAAGCAAGGGAAGACAACTTTCCGCATTCCAACTTCATGTTGCACTCCATCTTGCAACTGCTACCCTCCAACATACCTTGGAGCATAGCCCCCTATGAAACGAGTCCTCATGGCGAGTAGCTCCGGGTATGCTTAAAGGGTCATGGTTCGTGAGTGGTCGGCCTTTGTTCAGTTCCGAGATGTGCCAATTGAATGTTTTGCAACCCACGCCTTAGCTAATCTTCAGTGTGGTCACCACCCTCTCGTATGCCAATCAGCGCAGGGATTGAGACTGGTTCTGTTTTGACACGGCTTCCGGCCGATGATGCACTTGCCTGAAACACAGGGCCATGCGAACCCATGCTGGTCGTGTTCTGCTTCTGCTACTGTCTTGGCGTTATGCGGTCTGAGGCCCGAAGTGTCCTTGTTGAAGCCCAATTAGTTTCCAATCCTATCCTTCCAATGCATTGGACTCTATTTCGTTTGATTGAATACACCTTGTGATGCCCTGGTAATTATTATACCTTGTTGAGGAAACCTTGTGATGCCCTTGATATGTCGGAATACTGTCTATGATTGAATATGCCCAACCTTGTAGATATGCCATTGCGTTGTTGATGCCTTGGTGGGAGCTATCTGCGAGCGTTGTCATGGCATCCACTCTTGGCCACAAGACAAGCGTAGGACGACTGATTTTAAGAGACCTGGGTGCGTCTTTCCGTGGTACCCTTTTCGGGGTCGGTTTAAAGGGAAGCCAAAGGGAAACCGACCAGGTTCTCGGGTCCCGGTCCCCTATTGTAAAAGACACCCAGGGAGGGTGGTGTTTGAGGTTTCGGGTGTGTGTGCTGATGCTTTACATGTGAGTCATGGGTCACTTGCCTATCCCGCTCGACTCACAAGGACGATTCGGAGATTGCGGAGGAGGCTAAGCCCTCCGTGCCGCCGAGGGGCTCAGATTTGGCGGGGAGCTGGGGAAATTGTCACGTGAGAAGAGGCAGGTTAGGTTGAAGCGGAAACTAGGGCACAATGCATCTTGCTTTTTCTTGGGTCGGTTCTTAAGACTTTAGCTTTTTGGGAAGTCAAAGGCCAGGGGTGTCCATTGAACCCACACAAAAATCAACTGTTTGGAGAGGGGTCAACGGCAACAAGGACTTTTAGCAGGACGCACTTGAAACGTCGCTGCCCTTTCACATTATTTTTGCCTTTTGAGGTGCTCCCTGACCACGAGGTCACAACAACGCAGGACCTCGCTGAAGGACGGGCGCAAAGTGAGAGCCAGCGCCAAGCGTTGCGCAAATTCCGAGCCAACTTTGGTTGTGACTCGATCGCCTCCGGACTCGCAGGAGATATCTTCCGAAACGGCGCGGCTGAATGCTTTGCTTGGGGTGAAGGATGCCCAGATTGCACCGCACTCAGATGGGATGTGTTAAGAGGTTGTCGGCACTCCGAGGAGGAGGGGGACAAGCTTTTGACTTGGCTTATGTCTCTGATGATTCAGTATGACCATCAGGATGCATTTTCACACAATTTCAAGGGTAGCAAAGCTTCGCACAGTGGTTTGCCATGTTGGATCTTCACATCTTTGTGTGCCATATTGTCGCGTTCCTCTACAGGGTTGCGGATTCGCAACGGGCGACCGAATTACGGACAGCGCCCCAAGGCGTACAGGGAAAGGCCCAGGGAGAATGAACTGGAATGTGGCTAAGATGTTAAGTTTCCACATCGCACCTGGTTTAGTCGGTGTTTGCTTGTAGTTGTCGGAAGCTGCCGGACATATATGTTACATTTAATTCCGCATAGTCACAAAACGGAGAAACGCAGAACCAGTCGAGGCTTTGAGACGGCAATCGCAAACAAGTACACAGCGGTAGGGTCAAAGCAGATTAAATGTAGTTGCGTTCATGTCAGAACCATAGCTGCTCAAGACATTAGTCATTCTTCCATTTCTTGGTTTTGAGACTCGACTTCTGAATTCCCAAGTTTCCAAGTCAACCACCCCCTAACCTCAGCATTGTTACATCGGTTGAATCCTGTTTCCAAGCCTCTGATCCGTTCGCTTCGCCGCGCGAGTCGCCTTTTCCGCGACCTCTCGTTTTTTTTTTTGGGCCGCAAGGCAGCCCTGCAAGATGAGCTTCGGCGCTGTGCTCTGGAAAGAGAGGCCAGGCTTAATTCACATTTCCTGTGGCTTGTAAAGGAAATCTGTCACTGGATGCATTTGTTGGTTGTCCAGGGGACGAAAGCAAGTGACGTGGGTGTTTTCGGAGGGTACCCTTTGTGATGGTTTGAAGACTGAAACACGTCCTTTGCTCTTCAGGGAGAACCGTGTGAACAATGCAAGCGATGCATGTGTGTTGCTGGGTCTTCTTGGCGACCATATGGGATGCAGCTTGCCTTGGCAACGAAGACGGCCAAAGTGAAACGCAGCTCCAGTGCATTCCTTCGTCCTCGAACCTTTTTGATTCTGCAGAGTCTAGATAGAGTGAAGCTGGCGGTACATATTGACCGTGTCTTGTTCGGTGCAGGCTGCTCCTGCCGTCGAGATTGTGCGGAGACCTCGGTGGCTGAGTGATCACACGAGTGATGCACACACAACAGCGTGTAGTGGGAGGGGAGCATTTTGCCATGTGGAAAAAGTCCTTGACATGGGATGATATGTCCCACATGAAAAAAGTTACCCATCATCATTTGGCCAGGAATATTGATCAACCCTAATGTCAATTCAAATCTGACAGTTTACAATCCCAGAATGTCCGCTACCGGAGCTGCAGCCCATCAATCTGCCCGAGGTATGGTCGGAAGTTACTCTCCAAGTCTTTGGACACATGCTGGTGCGATGCATTCAGTGATGAGCGGTGGAATGGAGATAAGAGTCAAGAAGCGCGCCATTGCTTGGACCTTGAAGTTTTCCGACCAGTGACTGCCCAAGGCAGTTTCATCATGTGCCACAAAACTTCCGCAGAATTAGCTCCCCTTTTGGTTTTTGTAGCTTTTTTGAGGCCCCCTTTGTTTTCCACTCTAAACAAATGTTTGCTTTTGGCTGGGGTCCATTGTTTCCAGCCAAGAAAAAGCACAGGTTTTTTCCAGGTCGTTTGAGGCTTGCAGAAGAGTTCGGCAACCGGCCGCCAGCGATGATTCGTGATTCTGTTTCATTTTTTTGGCGCGCCGGCTATCCATCATGTCCCAAACACAGCTGCACGACAGCTCGTCCTGGACCCTCACAATGATGAGGGCGCACCTGCTGATTTGTAATTGAGTGTTGTAGTTCCACCTCACCGGGCTTCCAATCCCCATAGCGGTCGGTTGAGCAAGCTGTTGCACATTGTGGCTTGGAAGGACGAAGTCAATGCAGCTCACAAGTCGTTTGTATCTTGGGACAGTCAAGGCCCATGCTTCTGCCTGAATCCACGGTACGCTGTGAAAGAGCGTGCTCCCCTCAAACAGTGACACTTGCAATGTATTCACCTTGCTTCCCGAGGCTCACACTCGACAAACACCTTGAGCAAGTCATTGCAAGCGGTTGCAGAACCCTGTCGATTCACAAGGTTTCACTTTGCCGCATTTGAGCAGCGGCCTTCTCCAGTGATGTAACCACGGGCACCTGGCCTTTGGGCCTCCTGTTGACGCGAGGCCCGACGTCCCCAGCCGCCAGGCCCGACCGGAGGTTTGGCAGATGGAACAGAGAGTGAGGTTGTTTCTTGCGACGTTTGCGTGTGGAATGCAACGTGTTGACAGGTTTCCCTCCAAAAGCTGCAATTTGTTTGGATGTACGAGGTTGCATTCCAGACCGAGAAAGATGGAAGTTCGAAACCTTCCAGCACACGCAACTCCCCAACTACCAATTCAAAGAGGAGGAATCATTCGTTTGGGAGTTGTTTCGGGCTCTGTACTGGAGTTTGTCATGCTTAGAGGGAGCCCCAAAACTGGTTGTTCCTCAAGAAATGGGTTCCCAAGTCTCTAAATTCCTTAACAACAACCCCAAAAAGGAAGTTTCCAACTCAGAAGAGACGCCTATTTTCCATTCGCGGGGGCCCCTTGGGAGGCCTCACACCAAACCGTTAAGCGCCATCCCAGGCCCCCGAGCCTGCGGAGCATTTTCTGGCGCTGAGCTCAGCAAACCGCTCTGCAGCCAGCTACCCTTTTTCGCAAGTGAGTCGACATCCCGAAGCACGGACTCGATTTGGTGAAGGACCAGCTGATTGTATGAGCATCCTTGGCTATGGGCGCTTGCACTGGAGGTCTCGGTCGGATTGCAAACACTCCCAGATCCATTGAAGTCCATGTTCAGTTGCCATACGTCTTGAATTCAGAGGCTTCCGATTTTTTGTCGTGCAAAGATGCCATGTGTCCTCGCTTCTTTACTCTTCGGAAAGCTGCAGCGGATTGTTTCCGAAGTCACTGGCAGGGTGTAGTCCATGGCAGTGGGCATGGTTGGCACTTGGAATGGACACCCTCACCAAGTTGCCTTGTCAGAATTCTGCTCCGTTGCGTGCTCAGCACGTGTCTGCGAGTTCAGATCAGCTATTGCCAGGTCGATTCCTGTCGGATGCGGCCCGCCTCTAGCATATGGGTGTGGCTTAAAATTGAAGAGCTAGGGTTCCGCAGGTTTTCGTTTTGGTCGCCTGGCCTCTGTTCTTCTAACTGTTGAAACTAGTCCTGACGCTATGGATTTGACGCAATCGGAGCTGGGTGAAGCGCTACTGGGGTGCGGCACCTCGAACCAGTGGTCCACCCTGGAGGCTGTGGCCCGGAAGGCGAGGTATCATGGTTGTTGTTGGGAAGCATTTTTTTTTACATTTTTGCTGATTGTGGTTTAGTGGTTGAAATCCAACCACTTAACTGCTAAGACTTTGTTTTTTGCTCTCCTTGCAACGTCAACCAAGGTATCGGGTCGTGGGATGTGTCAAGACGGGTAGTGTGGGCACCTGGTTCAATATGGGTATGGGTCAGAATCAAGGCACTAGGGGACCGCAGGTGTTTGCATTTACCAGGGTTCTATTTGGGGTATCTATTTTGACCCACACCCATATCAGTACCCTGAATTATGTCAAGTTTCCTCGGCTTAAACACGAGGGGGTCAGCTTCATGTCGAGTAAAAACCCATAAAAGTCCCGTTCCACACAATCTGAAGAACATGCACAATATGGGCAACTGACTTCTACTGAAATCCGGACAAACATGAGGATTTTCTGTTTTGGTAGTGGTCCCCAAACCATCGATTTGTATGTGTATATATATATATATATACAAAACAAGGTCAAGCAGTCATGCAAAGCGGGTACCCAACAAGAGGCCCTGATTCTGTTTAATCTGACTGCTTCACGGTTCGCTTCAATGTCAAGCTATTTTTGGGGGGCTGTGAAATTGCCATCTCAAAGCCTTAGCCTTTTACCTTTAAAGGTTCGTTCAACTCCCAAGCTCCTTCCCAGCTCAAAGGCAAAAATCGTTAGTCTAGGAAACTCAGTGTTGCAAGTGGTCCCCAAACCATCAAAGTTTAAGATAACATGTTTATTGTACAAGAAACACCTTATCATACAAGGAAAACCAAAATAAACCCAAACGGTCACACGAAGGGGGTGCCCGCGAGAGCCAGTGATCCTGTTTAATATGACTGTTTGGGGGTCTTCTTCAATGTCAAGCTCTTTGAGGTGGGGAAAACCTGGCAATACTCAAGTGGACTAGGCGATACTAAAGTAAGTACTGGGAGTCTGAGAGTAAGTCTTGACAATACTTAGTTTTCACTCGGCAACACTAAACTGAGCATAGGCAATCCAACGTGAAGTGCTGGCAATGCTAAAGTCAGCACTGAGCTAAGTATGAAGTGCTGGCAATACGAAACCTTTGGTGCAGTTTGCTTTGATGTTAGGACTTCAACTTTTTGCCAACTAACGGGTTTTCCATTAAACCACTAAAAGTCAAACTTTTAGCAGGGGAGCAGAAAGCAAGGAAGAAGTCCAGTGTTGGCAACACTAAAGCAACACTTCGGCGAGCTCCCTGCCAGACCTTTCTACAGGACCCCCAGCACGGCTTTCACGGTCCTCGGGGCGGGGCAGTAAACAAGGTCCCACATTCAGCTTTCTTTTCTTGAGGCTCGGCACCCACTTGTTGGGTTGGTTAGGAAGGGAACAACCGACCCATGTCTGGGGGGTCCCCCATTTTGAGACACGCCCAAAGGGGACCCCCCAAGAAATCAGAACAGGGGACCCAGTCTTCCTGTGGGTCAATCTGGTTACGAACCCAAGCAAACTCAAAACAGATGAAAGAAAGCCAAACAAGACTCGGGAAAACCCCAAAAGGGCAAACACACGATAAAACCAAAGCTAAAAAGCAGTATGATGTGAAAACTCTTTGGAGAAGAGCTCATATTCAAAGAGTCTAAGAGTTCGTTAAATTTTCTCCCCCCCTTTTTTCTTATATATATATATGTACATAAGACATAAAGTAAAGCAAAGGTTGTTTGTGGTTTGGTGGCTTCGTTCGAGATTTGATTGTCCGCGGTGTTCTCGATATTTGTGTTTTTTGTTCTATCTGGTTGTTCTTTTTAAGTGAGATTTGTTCTTTTGTACCAAGGTTGTTTGTTGCTTCTGTTTGTCTTTGAAGGGCTTACTTCTGTGGTTATGTTACAATGCATCCACAGTTTAAGGATTTGGACAACAGTATTCCTGTTTGAAGTACAATTCCATGTAAGAATTCCAATTAATTGAATTCCAATTATCACGAGCTGAAATCGCATGTTCCTTGCTTGTATTGGTGTTCCCTCCTTTTAAGGGGCAGGCAAACTAGAAGAAACAACCAGCTTGTCTTTCCAAACTAGATCCTATTTAAAAATGTAACTATAATCTAATGATCAATCATGCTACGTGAATAGGATTTGGTTTATATTAAAATATATTCCATTTGATGGTTCCAATTGAACTCTAAAGAGCTCATATTTGGAAGAAATTTCCTATTTAAAGTCTAATTCAAAGACTCAATGTCAAGCGAATTAATTAGAAGAAGCAACCTGACAAAAAAGCTTGTCTTTCTTGCTAGATTCTATTTAAAATTTATATTGTAGTTAAGTTCTAAAACACACACTACTTGGGAAACTAATCCTGTTTAAGATCTAGCTCAAAAACAATGATTCTAATGGTTCCAATCAAACTCCCATTAAACTGAAGGCCTTGAACATTTGACACTGCAACTGCTAGAAGTGATTTTGTATTTTCCTTGTGTTTATATTGGTTGTTTACTCCGTTTAAGGTGCAGGCAAATTAAGAGAGCACGACCAGCTTGTCTCTCCTTGCTAGATTTGTTGAAGGACCCGTGATCCTGCGGGAAACTGTTTGTGCGGCTGCTTCTTGCAAGATGAGCTCTATCCGATTGCTTTGCAAGACTAACAGCCCGGGCCATATTGGAATGCCAAACAGCAATTGCCAGCATGGTGCACAAATTCATGTACAGGACCCCACTGAGTGATTTAGAACTTACAACACACACTGACCAGCAAAGCATGCGTACAACCTGCTCAAGATATCAAACCTCAAATCACTACCACAGTCTCCCGGTTTCCAAACAATTGTGGTTTCCTTTCGGCTTCTGAAACAAAAGTGAAAGGCGACCCCGCTTTCGGGGGTCCGTGAAAAAGCAACTATGTGGGTATGTGTCCTTTTGAAGCCTTTGGTGGGCGGACGTTTAGCGAGAAACAACAGGAAACTGACCTTTTTGGGGGGGTCCCTCTACTTTGACACTAGCCATACGTGTGTGTGTGTGTGTTGTGTGCGTGCGTGTGTTTCTGAGGGCTCGGAAACGGGTACCTTGAAAGCGGGTACCCCTTGACAGAGAAACACCCAAAACGGCGGGTGACTTGCCCAAGTTGCTGTGGGCTTTCTTGCATCGCTTCTGGGCGCACAGGAAAAAGCTGCTTTTGATAGCTCACAATGGCTCACAGCCCTTTGTACTGTAAGCAGTTGAGCAATCGCAAAGAATCGATCCGCAAGACTGTGACCATGGCCCCTAGAAAGATTTCAGGACACACATGTATACCCTGCATTCAGGAACCCATTTGTTGGAAGCCATTCAACAGGTCACCCAACCATTTACTTGTTTAAACCATTCTTTGGCCAACCTTTTGTTTTTCTCATGAAGGACCGACAAAACGGGTCACCCAACGCGATCCATATCCAGCTATCGCCAGGTGAGCAAGCGTTTGAACCGCCCGGTGAGTTGCCGAGAGCTGGACGACTTCCTGCTAGCAGGGGAGGCCGACATGCGGGAAATCGGGGAGTCTTGGGTCTATGGCACTCGTTTTGGTCCGTCCTTTGATACATCTTTCTTGTTTATGCTCGTGTGTTTGTTTCTTTCTTTCTTTCTTTCTTTATTTATTTCTTTCTTCTGTTGTTTATTGAACACAAAGCAATAATCGTTTTAGCGTTTGTGTCTCCAATGCGTTTGACTTTGTGTTTTTAGTTGTCCCTCGTTCGGCCACTCGTTATGAGCAACAGCGGCACCTATTCTGACCACACAACTCGGGGGACTGTTCTCCTCCAATGTTGTCCACATACCCTGCCACACATAGCATCTCACAAAACTTCCCTTTTATAGGAAACTGGTTTTCTAGGTACTCTTCAGATGCTATGTTTGTGGGCAGGGGCATTCCTGGGTTTCCCTTCCAAACAAAGACTCATTTCCTGTTTGGCCCATGGGCTACTGGGAAGCGAGGTTTGGCGCACCAGCTTCGGTGCCAAGTACATGCCCATACTGCTGGCGCCCCGGTAGCCATTCAGGTTGTGTCAGCGAAGCAACTGCTTCCGGCGACGTTTGAAACGAAACAGGCACAGACCAGTGACACTCCGTGACGTGACTAAGCCGTTCCCTCCACTCACGCGCATTGCCACCTTTTTGGGCAAACGTTGGATGGGTGAGAGCACTCGAACCACAAAGTCCTGTAAATCACTTAACTGGCTCGATCGTGGTTTGCATGGCACCCATTTGCTCAGCACCTGTTGGTCCCTCTTTCACTGTTCCAGGTGCGTTTCCTTTGCTCCATGGGAAGCCTCCGGCCGCTAGAAAGCGGGCCGTTCAGGATTTTGGTGGGCCTATATAAAGCTTCAAGCTTGTAGAACCAAAGATCAAACATGGCAGAAGCGCTGCTGGCATTTGTATGCCATATCCCAAACGGGGATGGCCCCAGGTGAATCCCGCGTTCGGCCGTGCACGTGCCGAAGCGCGTGCCCGGAACGAAGAGCCCGGCTGTAGTTGCAGGGCCAGCGGAAGCTCCGGGGCGAGCACCGAAGGGATGAAGAGATACTTCGGCCACTTGCATCAAATGGCTGTGGTTGTCAAAATTAAACAACTAGGAGACCGCGGGTTTTAGTCCTTGGTTTCATTTTCCAGGTTCCATGTTGGGTACCTATTTTTGACCATGGAGCATCGTGAGAAATGGCCATGGTTCAAAACCAATGGGATCTCCCATTTTGGTTGGTAGGTGAATTCACCACCCATTTTAGAACCTATTTTAGTGGTTGGATTGGGAAATCCCATTTTGGTTGGTAGCTGAATTCACCACCCATTTTAGAACCTATTTTAGTGGTTGGATTGGGAGATCCCGTTTTGGGGTAGGTGAATTCACCACCCATTTTAGAACCAATTTGAGTGGTTGGATTGGGATGTTCACTGGGGGTACGATTCGGCTTTTGACCCATGGCCAAATAGCGACCTCTGACAGGTTTTGTTGCTTGCCTGAGGGTGTGCCCCATATTTCGCGTCAAGGTTGAACACCTAACAGAACGTCACAGTATGAACTTGGATTCTGATGAACATGTCAAATGAACACCCAACTTGCTTTGCAAGTTTAAATTTGCTTTGCACGGAGTTCTTTATGCTCGATTTTGTGGACAACTAGGTTGATTCTGTTGTTCCCGGGGAAGGGCGTAGCCCAGGACCAACGTAGGACATGTCCAGAAGCCTGGGCGGCCCTTTCACATATTTCCCCAGGACTTAATTGGAGGCCAGGAATTACTAATAGGGGCAAACGAACAACCGTGCGGGTCGGCAGTTCTGTGCTTTTCGCGGCCATTCGCTTTTCTTGTCGGGTGACGAGCGAGGCAGCCACGACTACAACGCTGGTCGCCATGCGGCGAACCTCAGCGAGCACAAGCCGAACTGCTGCCTGTGGGCGCCGCCAGCTGCCGGTCACCTGCACAGCTGGCGCCGCGCCTTCACGGAACCCGCGTGACCGGGCAGAAGACCCGTGGGTCTTTGAGGCCGTCAAGGAAGAAGGCCGAAGGTCACAGCGAACAGCCAGTTATGGCAGTTTCCGAGGTTCCTGTGACTGGGTTGCACACTGATTGTGTGAATGTGATCAACAAAAAGAGATGGCAGCGCTGAAGAGCCTTGCTGCAGAGATGCGCGAAGCTGACTAGTGAGTTGTGAGTGCCTTTAACCAGTTTGCGAAGAGCAACAGACACCCATGCAGCCGAAACAAAAAGAAACGATCGCTTTGAACGCTGCGCAAAAGTGACTGTTTGAGGACCAGATGGTTTTATGTGCAATGCGTTCTTCGCACATTCGTGGTGATGATGTCGATAGGTCAGTAATTATTCAATGGGTCAAATTCGGTCAGCAACTCATTGGATTTCGTGGAGGGTTCCTGTCATCATTCGGTGTAAAATGTAATTGGGAGAGATCGGGTGCATCTTTTCCATGAACCACAGAACAAGCTTCAGTCCATCTACAGTCCATTCTATTTGCCGGTTACAAGAAGCTGCCGGTGGGGTCATGTGACCATCCCCTTGATTGATCATGCATTGTGCAGGCTGAAATTGGGTATGCCTCTAGCTTTCCCGCTAAAATCTAGGAGCCCCGTCGCTTGCTAGACGCCTGTGCGCTCGCTGAGGTGGCAGAGTTGCCAACGCCCTCTGCCCCGAGCCCTCGTGTTCCTGTGCCTTTGCCGATGTGTGGACGACTTGAGACCTTTGGACGACAGTACAAAGTGTGAGGGATCCATGATATCAAACAAGCCTTGGGTTTATCCGTTGCCTCCTAGCACGATTTGAGCAGACTGGTACAACATGGATTGTGTCGGTTCATCACGCTTTGCAAAGAACGGATGCAACATTGAGCACCTTGGCTAGTTGCTCGCCAATTGGGTGTGGGTCAAAATTAAACCACCAGGGGACCGCAGATTTTAGTCATGGGTTCTATTTACCAGGGTTCATTTTGGGTCCCTATTTTTGACCCACAGCCAATTGTAGGCTGTTTTGAAGGAAGATGGTCATTGCCTGTGGACTCGCTGCTCTGGGAAGATGTCATGTGGGTGTTGCTGAAATGGACAAGTTTTTCACATCAGAGTCTGCCACATTTGAACCATTGGCTCAGATTTCCTTTGCCCTACCTCAGCTTTTTGTTGGGCAGCGTCACCCCGTTTGGTTTGTGGTTTGTTATCCAGCTGATGCCAAGGGCTTGGGGAATGCTCCGGCATGGTTGTGCACGAGCGGTCTGGGGCTCGTTTCAATCCTGTAAGGGGACGAGTCAATCGACATGTGGGTGTGGATTAAGATTAAACAGGGGAAGGCCTGTTTTAGTCATGGGTTCCGTTTACCAGGGCTCCATTTTGGGTACCCATTTTTGACCCACAGCCATGCGCAATCACCACTTCAAGGTGCCGAACGTTGGTGGGCTTGGGCCGTTGCATTGCGGCGTGTTTTTGCTCTCGCCGAACTTCTGACAACAGCGTTCGGCAAGGATGAGCCCTTCCTATCATGAAGCGCTGGAGGTTGACTTCTTGAGACAGGAGCATGCCTTTGATTTGTTTAATATGCCTACCCCCAAGCGCTTGATCTCTCCAAATGTTTGGCCTACTGTTGATGTCCTGTTCAAACCAGGATGCTTAAGGGGGTCATAGGACCTCTTTTAAGACTCATTGCCTGATGAGCAAAGGATTGCTTACTTGAGAATCACTAGACAGCTCTTTTTTTAGTCCAGAAATCACCCAAGCTTCCAAGATATTCTTTTCGTTCCCCTCCTTGAACCAACTCGGCAGAGATGGACAGAGACGCGGTGAGTCGAGGGATGCAAGCGCAAAAGAAGATATGGAACTTTGGATGGCAGTCAGAATCTGGGAGGGCACGAGCATTTGGTCCCAAAGTCTCGATCTTGATTTCTCCCTGAAATCATCCAACACCGGCCCATTCCCAGGTTCGGGAGGAGGGGGGGGACTCACTTAGTTTCCACCCAACTTGCTGGTGCTCAGTAGGGAATGACCATTCCGGGTGTTGGGAATGAACCAGTTATGTGGCTTCCCAAAAAAAAAGACAAAAGAAAACCAGAGTGGTTTCTATGGGTCATTCCCTCATTCCCATGAACCGGAAGGGGATTCCCATGAACCGGATGTTTTCGTTCGGGGTGCCAAATCTCCTTCCCTGCCCCAAACCCGATTTTCCTCATGTGGCCATGGGTCAAAATCCCGTACCAAAATCCAGTGAAGATCCCAATCCCCCACTAAAGTAGGTTCTAAAATGGGTGGTGAATTCAGGTCTTTCAGGTTCCCACACAATCCGACTGTAAATATATACCCCTTGGAATATTTGGGATTGCCAGAATAGAAGTCACCTACCAGCCAAAATGGGATCCCATGGGTTTTGACAGCCACAGCCATGTCAGGTGAGAACCCCAGAGCCCGCCTGCGCGGTGCGCAGCGTGCGCAGCTGCTCCCCAGGCCGAACCGCCCGGAAAAACGCGGAAGGCTCCTCGCCCTGGCTTAGCCCTTCTTTGCATACCCCTTCGATAAGGGGGGGGGGGCTGGGGGGTCCAACAAGTGGGGCTGGAGGGGGAAGGGGGGATTTCTGAACCCAATGATGAGTGAAGAGAATGTAATTCGCACCCTGAGGGAGTTCTGCAAAGAATGTGGGTGAAGAGAATGTAGCATCAATCCTTGGAGAAAGGGGGTTGTCTCAATATGTGATTCGGAACCGTCGAATTGTGTTGTGGAACCTTTTAGAGGGTCGCCTTCGTTTTCGCTTCGAAGGGTCGCCTTCGGTTTTTCCCTGGATGTTAGCCCCTATCCGAATACATGTCCTGCGGAGTATAGGGATCCCTCTTTCGCGGACTCCAACGAGCATGACAAGGACCGGTTGGAAACAGCAGCACCGAGTCAAATCTTTGATAAACTTCAGGCGCACATGATCGGCATGTGCCATGGTCGGCAAGCGACATGATCGGCATGTTATCCTGCATAGCGGCCCGAGAAAGAAGCAGCTAGCATGCAGCCCCGGGTTGGAACGAAAGTCTCGACCGAAGCAGCAGAGCCGAGGGCGGCATTTAGAGAAACTATCTACAGGAACATCTGCAGGAAGTCAAGCCTCCCACATACGGAGGCTTACGGCTTACAGCGTGGCTGCAAAGCGGCTGCTGGCGATCTACCCCTTTCCGTAAATCCTCCTTGAGGCTAGGTGCCTTTCCATATGGCGGATGCTCAGAATGTTGAAAGCAAACCAAGCCGAAACCATTGCACATAATGGGGGCGCCCTTGCTCCCAACTTACAGTCTTCAAGGACTCTAATCGGATTTACGTTTCGGACCTCTTGTTTGATTGAACCCGAGCATACTCACGTTGAGACGAGATTTAACGGGTGACCAAAGGAAAAGCAAGGTCAAAACCAATGGTAGTCTATTTTAGTGGGGATTGGGATTCACTGGGTACGGGCATTTGACCCATGGCCATCTTCCATGCATCTTTCAATTTTGGAGGGCCCAGATGGAGATGGCTCAGGCCCTCTCCGATCTCCGCCGGTGCGGCAGCCCAGAGATGGGATTTAGCGGGTGCCATGGAGCGGCCAGCCTGGCGCACAGGGGGTTGATCCCTGTGGCCTCAACGCTTGGCCACCTCCAGCAAAAGCAGGAAATCAAGGGAGTGTCCGATCTTGACAGAGGCGGCCGCAGGGAAAATTCATGACAGCTGGTGGCATCAATCAGTTAGAAACACAGAATGGAACAAGGGTAGAAGAGTGCAATAGTGCATCCATGTCCATGAACAGACAATGCACCTTGCAGTTAACTTCTCATGGGAGTTCGAGTAGTGATGTTAATTGGTTCCATTCTAATAGTTATCACTCACGGTGGGTCGGGTCCATGACGCTTTGAATGGCTCGACTCGAGCTTTGAGTCGCAACCAAAGCACAAGGTTTAGTCAATATTGTCGAAAGACATCCATTTCGTGCGCTTGAAAAATTCAGTTGGCATCGAATTTATGCGTGAGAAATGGGTGTTTCTAAAGATAGGGGAACCCCAAAACGGGTCGTTTCCTTTTGGTTTCTCTTTGAAACCCCCGAAAAATAGGTCCATCATTTTGAGAACCCCCTCTAGATGGATGTGCCACTTCTCCCCGTACGGGCTGACTGAGGTCAGAAGCACCCTGGATGAGGAGGCGCCGCTGGCTATCGCGAGATGTTTGTCGCAGGTGTTAACCTCTTAACTTCTTGCCTGTTCTCAGGCAGCGGGGGTCTTTTGGCCAGCTGTTGTGGAAAAATGATTGACCCCCTCGTAGTGGAGGATTCCTTTTTGAGGAGGTCGCCAATTTTCTCACAAAAGGTGGCAAAAAGACACCCCTGTTCTCAGGGGGTAATGTTGAAATAGGCCTGTACCCTTGGTACAATCAGGCTGGAGGTGGTTGGAAGCTTAATTCCCTTGTTCAACTGTCCACCCAACAATTCAGGTTTGCCATTCTTTACTTACAGCTCCTCCCGGTTCCCAGCACTTGGATGGGCAGGGTTGGCCAGTGTTGCAATTTCAGCGCTCAAGTCCTACCTAAAGCGCAGGCTGTGGATTTGTGTTCTACCCAATAATCAAGAGATAAGTTTGACCATATGTGATTCTGCACTGACGCCCTTCAGCCGATCAGCTGAGAGCTGTTGCATACCATCGGCATGCCTTTGATTCGTGAAGTTGTTTGGGGCCATGTAAATGTTGCTCAACTTGTCGGGAAGGCAAAAGAGGCCGCGCCAACAGGTGGAAGACCCATTTGTTTGTGCCTCAAAATTAAACAGGAGAAGTTACGCGGGTTGTGGTCCATGGCTCCACTTTCCAGGGTTCCATTTTGGTACCGGTTTTGAGCCACAGCCATTTTGATTCTTTCGCAGCAAGCCGCCAGCGGTGTGAGGAGGCCGCAGGAAGCCGTGCCCGTGCCCGGCTATGCCCTTGACCGCCAGGAGCTAGACGTCACTCACCGGCACGGCCCGGTGCAGCAATCGGTGCTGGCGCTTGCAGCGCCTGCAACGCCGGCGATGAATGCGCCAGGCGGGGGAGTGGAGAGAACAATCGGAAGCTGACCAGATGGGGTTGCTCTTTTGATGGTACCATGTTTTTGTGCGGTTTTGAAGGAATACCTAAAGGAAAATCGAAAGGAACACCTAAAGCAAAACCACCAAACAAATTGTGGGCTAAAAATCACCAGGACTTGCGGGGAAACCACGAGAGGTGCAGCCACACGGGATGTTTCTTTGCTTGCCAACTTGTTTTCTCAGAATCGGCAGCAAACATGGCCAACTTGCGGGAAATGCGGTGCCACTTGGTGTTGCGGCTCAGTTGGACGCGTCGCATTAATTTCAGCTGCGCTGCACCCCACGCAAAGTTAAGCCATGAAGACCTTGGCATAGTTCGACACCATGCCACATGGCACAGAGGGCGGTCAGTGTTTGAGTCACTGTAGTTTCCTGTTGAGGTGCTATCAGGAATCAGGACAGGTGTTTGAGCCACGATTCAGACTTTGCCACCGGTTCTCTCTCCGCTTTGGCACGCATAATGAGCTATTGTTTTAAGTTGAAGCATGCTTTACACGGTGGGCCTGCAAATCGAAGCACAATTATCGCATGTCAGTTTTGTTGCCTTGACGTGGTCTTCAGGCTTTTATTATTTAGCATCATCATGGCTCTGGCAGTTTGAAGGGGCAATTTCCCCATCACCTTGAAATGTCCATTCTCGTTTTCTTGGTTGGTAAGCTGAAAACTCCACCAGTGCTCCTAATGCTGCTCTCATATTCCGAAAATGGGATGCTTCTTTTCCGCTAGCAGCCGTGCTTGCAGGAACACCATGCCTGGTGGGGCGCGCGGTCGGGCGCGCGGTCACGCCGCCGAGGCTGACGAATGGTGGGCCCATGTGCAGCACCAAATTTCGTCACGTTTTGCACTCGGAGGGTGTGGATGATTTGTTGAACTGGCATCCGCCAGAAACGTACTCAGGGCATTGAAGGATCATTTCGTCCCCGGCAGGGGCGCAGTGCGGCGGTACACGGCTACGCCGCGGAATGTGGCGGTGAAGGCGGGTCTGGGTCAGGTGATGCCCCTTGGTTCCCTAGTTTCGGATGATCAAGGTGACCATCCCCAGGTTCCTTGGCTTGCAAGAGCGAGGCAGAAGCTGTGTCCTTTTTGGGCCCTATGGCCCTTGTGGCGGTCACATCTTCTACAGAAGTCCAGAACTTTCCACTTGGAAGGCCCAGACTTGCTTGCGGGCAAATTGTTCCGTTGGAGGAACGGGGTCAACGGTGTGGTGAGTTGGAATGCGGCTCCATGGTTGTCATCCAGACTCATGGAGGTGGATTCAAGTATCGCGACAGGGTCAACGTCCCCCAGTCGTTGTGAATGTGTTTCATGAGCGATGGAATCTGTTTCACTCCCTCGTGAGTCGTCAGAGTCGTATTATAGCTGATATTTGGTTCGTTTTGCCTGGCCTTCATCGTGGAGCTTGCTTGCAGGTCGAGTCAGTCGACACGCCGGAGATTCGAGGCCAGGCCAAGGGGTCAACCAGAGGCAAATCAAACAGCAAACTTGCGACATGGCAGAGCGAACAGCAAATACATACGTGAATTATATATTTTTGCTAGCGGGATTGTACTGTATTGGTTTGCACCTCGTTTAATGTCAAGGAAATTGAATTCGTGCATATACATAGTTGATATACATATATACATATATACATATATACATATGTATAGACACATACATTGCATTGCCTTGCCTTGCCTTGCCTTGCATTGCATTGCATTGCATTGCATTGCATTGCATTGCATTGCATTGCATTGCATTGCATTGCATTGCATTGCATTGCATTGCATTACATACATACAAACATACATACATACATACATACATACATACATACATGTTTTTGTTTTGTCTAAGGTGGCATCAAGTGTGAGATTGTCAGCAGGTGTCATCTCGATGCCAGCCAGCCCAACGCCTGACAGATCATAGCTAAGTTCTTAGTTTTTTGCAAATGTCGGCCGCATGTGTTTCCAAGGGTTAACTTACAGGAACATCTACAGAAAATAGCTCCAAAACACAATCATGAAGCTGTTTTCCTTTAGAATTCCTGCAACCCCCAACCCTTTGAATGTTTTCAGGGAGTTGTGTCAGGACAGAACATGGCATAGTGGGGTACAGTCGGGAAGCCGAAACTTCACATTGTTTTGCTACTGTGTATGTGTATATATATATATATGTACTGGTATGACAACCAACATTTATCCAAGCGACAGTTTTCACAAACTCCCATCAATTGGATGCGCGGGTTTCAAGCAGCTACTTTGAACTCAGCACCACCAGCTGCCAAGCCTTTGGCTCTTGTCGGTGGCAAGCTCGCGGCCGATTTAGACGACATGGGTATGGGTCAAAATTCAACCACCAGGGGACCGCAGGTTTTGGTTCATGTTTCCACTTACCAGGGTTTGGGGTACCGATTTTTGACCCACAGCCACATGGTTGCCTAGATGTGACACTTGAAACTTCATGATCCTCACTGGCAGTCGCATCGGTTCTGATGAGAGGCAACTGTTTATTGTGCGTGTTATCGACCGTTCCCCTTGCTCCACGTGGTTTCTGTATGGGTATGTGCCCTTGAGTGATCCGTCTTTGAAACCCGCTTAACGTCGTTTTAAGCTGAACGCCAGATAACAAGAGGAGCCCAGTGTTTGACAAGTTATTTCCAAGTTGTTCGAGCCAGTCGCGCGATCGCAATATATTATGTATCAGCATATTTTGTTGCAAGGAGCGGCACTCGCCGAATTGCAAATAGAGAATGGAGATTGTTCGCAACAAAAGTCCACGCAGATTGCCGGCGACTATGGACTGTGGCTCATCAGGTGCATTGCCATTGCAAGCTTGCAGAGCGTTGCAGTCGAAGGGTGCAAGCCTTAGCAATTTGGGGAGTTTGACAAGTTTGTGCTTTAGCTGCTTGCCCATTCAGATTCGTAGTGGCATGATACTGCAAAGCATCGCACCATGAGAAAGCTGCCAGATCCAGCGATTTCGATTATCTTCGACTGGGCTGTATCATTCGCTTCTAGTTCACTCTCTGCGTTGCAAACAGAAGGGGCTCTACTGTGGATGGACAGAATCCTGCACCACTTTGAAACCATGGTTGAAACCGTTTTTGGGGGACATGTTCAGGGGAGTCCTCATTCCAGGGTTTCTTAGTTGGGCGCGGGTCAAAATTAAACCAGCCGAAAACCGCAGGATATTTAGTTCTTGTTTCTACCGGGATTCCATTTTGGGGTTATTCTATTTTTGACCACCACACCCAGGTGCGGGTCTGGATGTCGTCCACAGTCGAAACCATAGGCCTCGCGGCCTCCTGGAAGTGGCGAAATTTCGAAGCCAGGCCGCGCAGGCAGCATGCCGCCACCGCGGCTGGTGTGCGCATCGCCGCCTGTGCCGTGGCCGGGGTTTGGAGCCCAGTCTTTGGCGCATTTTGCCCAGGGATGTTAGGACTTTGACGTTTTGCCAACTTTTACTGTAGTGGCTGTTCCATTAAACCACTAAAAGTTAAACTTTTAGCAGGGGAGCATAATGCAACTGAGCAGTGTCAGCAGAGTTGGGATGAGTTAGGTAGTTCTCGAAATCAGCAGAGTTAGGTAGTCCTAAGTCATCCAAGCAGAGTGCCCATATTTTGGAAACACCTTCTTGCCGCCAGATCTGAGTTCTGGTTTTGCATGACGCGCTACCCAGACGGCCATGATCAGTTTGCCATACGTGCACGAAGCCGAAGGGGTTGTTTCTCCATTTCAGAATGCCTTCTGGCTCTTTCGATGGCTCTAAATACACTGAAATGCTGAGGTGCTTGTTGCATGCGCTAGTCCGTGTTGGACGCCCTCGTCAGTCAAGAAAGTTCTCTGGGGGATCTCTTTCGCCGAGAAACGGTAGCCTTCAGACATAGAAGCATGCAGCATGCCTCTAGGTTGCCATCTTCACACACGCTTGTTTTCCATAGACCGCTTGGGTCACGCACTATGGAAACAAATGGCCCTTTTTCCGCCAACCTGCACATGGTGTTGCTGCCTTTTGAACAGGTGAGGTTTTGTCAGTATAGGCTTGTTGGTGATGGTCTGAAGAGACGCCTTATGCGGGGCGACCGTTACTTCATTCCTTGTGTTGTTTGTGGTATCTTCCATGCTTTTGTTTTTTTTTAAATCACCAGACCTCAGTTCCCTTTGTGTTTCATGAATTTGGGACCTACATAATGGACCAAGCAAGGAATTTCGATTGACACCCTAGGCACATGGAGCCGCAACGAGCCTCAACCCCCCAGCCGGAGTCTCGGTGCGGGGCGCTTTTCGGGTGTGGTTCAAAGGACCCAGCTCGAAGGCCACTGACCTCTTGACCCTTGAGACTGTTCAGCAAGGAGAGCCCCAAAGCGGTGCCAACTCTTTCCCCCTGCCCAAAGCCTGACTGTACAGCTTCTGGCTTTGGACAAGATGCTTCCTCCATGTCTTCTCCCCCCTTGGTTTTGGAGGTACAGCTTCCGTGGGTCACAAGCCCTGGTTGGAATCGCGACAGGTGTTTGGTGCTTCCGAGGCTGCAGTGAGAATAGTACTAGGTTGAGATTGACAGATGATGTGAGGTTTGTTTCCACGGTTTGCTTCATGTTCGCGACTCACTTAATTGGCAAACTACGATTACTCCCCAGAACACCAGATTCTTACATGATGAAATTATCTGACTCTTAGGGATCCCGAATTTCACTCGCTGAATTATGACGATTCACTCAGTGGAAGTTGCTTATGTAATTGACACATGACACGTGCCCCAACAGCATATGCATCCCAGTTTTTTAGAAGCCCGTCGGGGGCAGCGGCATCTCAGCATGGGTGTTGATTCGTTTTATGGAGAAGGAGCAAAGTACGACATGTCCGATGTGTCGCCAAATGGAAGTCTTCCAACATAAGGTTGCACTCAAACCGCTGTCCCATCATCAGTTGGTCCTTGTTAAGTCAACCAGCCACATGTTTACTAAAGCCCTTTGTCACGCGGAATCTTTGCTTGCAGTTGTCATATTCGCCGACCCATTTGGCATGACACCATGGGTCACCCACTGGTTGCCGCTGAGTTGTCGCAGTGCCTCAGTGCAGCCTCCAAGATGTTGGAGGAGCAGTCGGAGTTGCCCGGAGGGTGGCAGCAAGCTGGGAGCCTGCAGCATTTCAGGGTATCCGTGGAGAACAATAGTTGCTAAACTGGGAACATGGGCCAGCCTCCCCTCAAACCCTGGGAATCCATACCTGCACCCTGCGAATCTGCTTCCATGGCCAAAGGCAAGCTCCTTGTTGCAGGGTCATCAAGCCTCTCGGAGTTTGGTGAACTCCGCTATCTATCTCTGGGTGGAACTATGACCATGAGCGAAATGGAAATATGGCACAAGCAGGTACGAACAAGGACAAACGGGCTACGTTTTGGGTTGGGCTGCTCGGAGATGCCATTTGGACTCCGGTTTGCAACCTAGAGGTCAGCAGAAGGGCAGGGCCAAGGCACAAAACGCAAGCTGCTGGATCTGAAGTTAGGAGACGCAGGAGACTTTTGTGAAGGTTGTGCGCTTATCTGCTGGAACCTGGACGAGTCGCGCACTTTCCAGAAAGGTATTCGTCTGCACCCGGATGCGCTTGCTGTACTGAAGGAAGGCTTGCAAGCTTTTGGCCGTGGAAGTCGCGCCAGTAGTCTTGAAATGTGTATGTGAGCAACTAACACAACTACGTACCACGGCCGCCCGCTCTCCCAAAGACATCACGACAGCGGCAAGCAGTTGGGCGCCTTCTCAAGGTAAGAGGAGGGGATGTGTTTTACAGGGCGATATGTTTGTCTCACTTCCTGAGTTCATGAACTTTAAACTTTTTGGGAAGACCATTTGAGTGGTAAATATAAAGCTTGAACTTTTTTTGGGCCATCCACTCAGCCAGTGAGTTGTTGCTTGAGGCGCTGATGGCAAATTCTGATGCAGTTGCGAGTGCAGGTGCTGGCACGGGTGATGTTTATGGTGTTGGTGCAAGTACTGACTCCATGCCACGGGTGGCTTCATCTGGTGCTGCAGCTGTGGGTGGAGTTGCTGCAGCAAAGCATGCTGCTTGAGTTTCTGCAAAGCCAAAGCGCTGGATGTCCAATTCCTGGCATGATGGTGCTGACATTTGACTCGAGTCATAATCAAAGCATGGTATTAAAAATGATCTACCCAAATCCATGCAAGGAATTGACAAGGCGGCCGCACCTGTTTCTGGCTGGGACTGCCCCCCTTACTATCCTTCATCTACCCGGGTTTCGGTTGTGACTCACTTTGGCAGGAAGTTGTTTGATCCGTTGATGGTGAGTGTTGAAGCCTTGGCATGGGTTGCTTGCGCAGATGGCATGCGGGTGGTCTTCCGCCATTGTGTCTCTTGGGGTTCTGTGCAGCTATCAATCGGAAGCAAGCCACGGTGGTCAGGTTCATGAATAGTTGACTGCACACTATATAGTCGGCGCTGCAATGCAGAGTTTTGGATGATCATGTATTTGGCATGAATCAAGCTGTCGAACTCAGGGTCCAAGCCTGCGAGTTGTTCTCCCTCGCTCCTGTGGGTCTGTGATTGAGAGCATTGTGCCAAGCCCCCAGACCTTGAAACACGACATCGCAATACTACAGTAGATAGTTGATCCCTCCTTTCTGCCCAAGTGCGAAAAGTCTCATTTGAACAGTTCTCTCGAATTCCCATCCTTTCAACGTTGGCAGCATCCCCAAAAATCACTGCAACCTCTCTTTTCTCTTCTGAGGCTTCCTTGTTTCACTGGTTCCCTTTATAAGTCTTTACCAGTAACCCTCACAACGGCTGTCTTAAAAAAACCCACAGGTTCAGCACCGCGTCGGCCGGAGGAGTAGCACTCCCGGCCCGCGCCGCATGGACGTCCAGGCGCTGCGCAACGGCTTGACACCGAAATGTGGCCATGGCCGGCCGACGAGCCCCAAGTTCTTGAAGCCGTTGCATACGCAAGGCTGAAGGTGTGTGTCCAAGTACTTGCAAGTTTCAGAACGTCAGGTCATATGCTGGCAGGGTTCACTTTGCTTTGCAAGACCAAACACGCAGGCGAGCCTTTTTGAGGTACCCTTTCCAAGTCCGTTGAACTAAAGGCAAGTCATGCAAGTCATCGCTTGAGCTTGTGCTTGCCAGACCTTTTGTATCGCGTCATGCTTTGCGGACGTGTTTGTCCTTTCCACGCATAGGATAGCTGAACAACGCCTGAACTGCTTTTAACTCGACGGTGCCTGACTTCCAAATCTAGCTCACTTCGGCGAGGTTGGCAGAAACAAGTTTTCGGAACCATCCTGCAGATTGCAACATTTGGCAAGATTGAACAGGCGCACAACGAACAACTCGGCCACAAGGCTCAAGGTCGCGATCCAAAAGGACTCCCCACCGAAACGGCTAAAGCACGGTTGTGAAATGCTGCCGGTTTGAGGTCTGACTTCCTTGATTATTGATCAATATGTGTTGATGCTTGTTGCTTTATGCACTACAGCTGTGTTTGATTGGATCTGCAGAAGAGCATGGTCTGTGGTGTTCAAGCCCTACGGAGCCTGTCACTTGGAAGCCGCACAAGCTTTTGAACATGATGATTGTGAATGCTGTCTCTTGAACTGACAGGTGTCTCTTGCGGCATGGAGCTCAGGTTTTCTTGGAAGCAGTGCCATGCGCAGGTGCCTGGCCCTGGCTTTCAGATGCCGCGGACCTCAGATGTCTTGCGGTAGCGGCATGAGGGATACCGCGTTTGGGTTGGACTGAGACATGTAGCTTGGGATCTTCCATGCCTAGGGTCCTTGCATGAACGACGTTGCTGACCATCGGCAGGGTGGCTTTGACGCTCACTCTGGTCTCCTCATCTATGAGGGCCTGCTGTGTATGCACTTTGACAGGTCAGCTGCCTGGTCAATGCAAGCTAATAGTGGTTGGATAGCTGTGTTTGTGTCTGTGTCTGTGTCTGTGTCTGTGTCTGTGTCTGTGTGTGTGTGTGTGTTTGTGTGCCGGAGTTAGTTCAACAAGGGCATCACCACCTACAGTCAAGGATCTTGGATATTGAACCTAGTTTTGCTTGAGTCTGTTCATGTTGGGTCACCAACACCTTGGAAGAGAGCGAGGGTGAACATAATTTCGAGCCCCCCTGCCAGTGGAACTATGGAGCCTCATGTAAGAGAGCGAGGGTGAACATAATTTCGAGTCCCCCAGCCACTGGAACTATGGAGCTTCAGGTAAGACCAGCTTCTGTTCGGAAGGGACCTGGTTCCGAATTGGTTGATTGGAGATGATTGGAGGGTATTTCTTGATGTGTTTGTGCACAAATGGATTGTTTGGGCCCTTTGAGCCAGGAAGTGCAGGGAAGAGTTGTAGCATGCTTAGCCGCACTACACTACAGAAACCACTGCTGGGCCTATGCATTCCTAAGCGGATAGCCCCAGAAATCCCATGGTCAGGGCCCCCAAGGAGGATACCCCCCCCCCCCCTCCGCCCCCTCGCCCCCCACACAAAGCTCTCAAAGGGAACCTCTGGATCCTGCTGAAACCGGAACGCCTTAGGGCACCGCCCGCGGCTGTGCGAGCAGCGCCAGGAGGTCATTGGATGGGCTAGAATTGGTTCCCTTGGTAGTGGTTTTCCCTAGGGCGTGTGGGTCTAGGAGTGGCTAACGGTGAATTTTGAGCAGCTCGGATTGGATGGACCGGCTTCTTGTACATCCTGGAGGGTTCCGTGCGAGAGGGTCGGAGGGTATCCTCCTTGAATTGCTTGATGGTCCGCGTTTGGACACCTTTACCTTTGCATGGGGTGACATGAAAGGAACCGGTTGTTGTTGTCCTCTTTCTTTTTGTTCGTTCCTTTTCTTTTCTTTTGTTTGGGGGGGGGCTGCAACTTAAGCAGTGCACTTCACACGTTTTGGGGCCCTTCAGGTAGATCATGTTCATCCGGCATGATGGACGCATCCTCATCGAGTTGTGGCCGCGTTTGCCTGCTTGTACTTGGACTAAGCGTGTCTAGTCTTCCACGACGTGTGGAAGCCACGGATGAGCTCAGTGGCACCCTTGCTTTCTGTTTTCAGGCAGGCCCTTTACTCAGTCCCGGAGATGGACTTTGACCTTTCTGGGTTTGGACCATTCTAGTGGCAAACCGAAAAGTTTGGGACTTTTTTGGGGCCAGTCCACTGCTGGGAAGAGAGTTTTCATAAAGTCAGCTGCCAAAAGAAGAGTGCCCGCCCGCTTTTTGAAGTGGCCATGGTGCGTGTAGCGGTGAATGGGACCTCACTCCGCATCCAGGCGATTGGCGCGCACGCCCCGGGCCGGGATCTCATCTTCATTGGGCAAAATGTATTTAAACCAGATTATGTCCACCTTAAAGAAACCACAAGGAGCTTGTTGAAACTGTAGGTGCTTGAACACGTTTAAACAAAGTGGCCAATTCTTGCTTATCAGTGACATGAATGCCCTGTGTCCCCCTATCGCCAAACCTGTGTTTTTGGGCTAAGATCTGTGAGGGGTGTGCTATCGTCACGAAACTGATGACGGGAGGGTCGATTTAGAGGCTGGATGTTGCAAGGCTGTAGCATGTGATGAATGATACTCAGATTGATTAGCTCAAAGGTCACTGTTTATTTACCTTGAACGTGCAGAAGGCATTGGTGCCTTGATTTGCTTGACCAGCTGGGGATTCTGTATCAACTTGACCGATTGTTCTTCTCCACGCCGAGACTCTTGACTTGGGCAGTCTCTGCCCCGGTTAAAAGGGGAGTTCCCCCAGAACGACAAGAGCGACCTTTGCTCATGAACTTCCTGCGAGCCCGCTGCCGGTTTCTGAGGCCGATGATGCAGCCAGGCGTCCAGCCCAGTATGCATCCAGGGATGCAACCCTTGCCCATGCAACCCGGCATGCCCGGCATGCAGCCCCAGTCTGGCATGCAGCCGGGTGTGCCCGGCATGCAGCCCCAGTCTGGCATGCAGCCGGGTGTGCCCGGGATGCAGCCCATGCCGCAGGCCGGAGCAGCTGTGGCACTTTGCTTTGGCTTGCTGCTATCCAAACATCACATGTCACCAGACGAAGTCTGCACACCAGTTCCGTGCAATATGTTGAAGGATTAGCCCTCGCAACTCCCCTTGTGCCGTGCCTTCCACAACTGCGAGATTGACAGTTGCCATTTCAGCGTGGCCAAGTTTCCAACGCGGCCACCGAATGCGTGGATGCTCTTCAAGAGGTACTCGCGAGGAGCTCATCGAGAAGGGACGTTTGAGAGCGCAAAATGATTAACAAACAAACTTTGCTATCGTGTTCTTAGGGCGCGCTTTTTCCCGAGCTGTATACTTGCAGCATGCAACGACGCAGACCTTGACATGACTGGGCCATGTTATTGACGAAAGCTGCCTCGCAGAC